ACTTTGCTTCTTCCCTTCTTCTGTTCTTCTCTGTCTTTTCTTTTCTTTTTTTTCCCGCTGATGATGACTGTCCCACTCGGCCCAGACAAAAAAGAAACGCCGGGTCATCTGAACGATGGAAATTTTCTCCCTTCAGGGGTGTTTGATTGACGGATTATCTCTGGGGCTGGAAGTCGGTCCATTGCTATTCTTATCTTTCGTCCTTCATCTTCTAGTCAGCCTCCCTCACTCAACTGATCGATCATCCTCTACTCCGTGGTCTCGAGGGAAACTAAATCCGCCCGTCTTGATTGCACCATCTGTCATCCTCCCCTCCCATGAGATAGATTACTGACTATCGTCCCTTTTCTCTGGACCGTGATCGACTGACAGCGATACCCAAGGGACTGGTCAAAGGTCAAAGATCAAAAAGTGGACAACTGACTCCGACAGCGATAAACTTCACATGCCCCCCTCTCCATGAAACCCACGAGTCCGCGGAACTGGGATTGCAGTTCCACGCGCCGCGCAACCTCGACGATGGGACCAGCCTGCGATCTGTCATTTTTGCTTTTTCTTTTCTTTTCTTCTTTTGTCTTTTCTGATTTGATTTTATTCGCTTTTCTCGGTCCTGGCCTGTGATGATCCACCCCACCTGTCACGGCATCATATGTAGTATCATTTCACCGACCGACGATACTCGCCGAGACACAGCTGAAAACCATTCAAAAGATTTGGATCTCGTGTGACGGATGTGATGGGACGAATCTTCCTTCCCCCCTGATTCACACCCATTCTGTTTGAAAAGAGGCATCCAATGTCCGGGGCCAAGTCAGACATACAGATGCACTCTCATCCGGCCCGCCCCGCCGTTCGTCGTTCGTTTTCCCCGTTCGTTTTCCCCGCGGGAGTCACTCATCTCATTTCTGTCTCTCTCCCTCTGTATCTCCTGTTTATTTTCTTCTCGGGAGCTGATCCTATCCTGATTCGACCCTTCGCTCGTACCTGATTGCCTCGTCTTGAGTTTGCTTCCTGATGTCATTTTCTTTTCCCGTCGCATTCCCGTTCAGGATGATTCATACCATGTCGGCAACTCTGTTCCTTTACACCTCGGCTTTTTTTTTGTTTTCTTATTTTTTTATAGCTTCATTTTGGTTTCCATTTGTTTCCATCCCTGCCTGACGAAGACAAACTCTCACCTTCTACCCATGGTACCTGTCATTTGACCCTGGCATAGACCTGACCTAACTTGACCTAGGTAACTAATCGGATCGGAAGTATTAGGTACAAGAGCGAATATACCCCGGAAGAAGCACGCCGATGGCTTGCAGTTGCAGACAAAAGATCGACCCAACAAATCCGCCCAGAGCCCAAGAGACCCCTCGGCCGGGGATTTTGCTGACGTGGAGTACACCGTGGAGGTGGTTGCTTCCTTGGGAGTGAATGGCGTAATTAGCCTGTAACATGTAGCATGTATGTAGCATGTAGGATGTAGTAGTCTACCCCGTACTTACTACCCCGTTGATGTACATGTATGTAGCATCCGGAATTCCGGATATCCGGGGAAATGGCATGCCATGTCATGGCATGGAGACGTCGGATGACCTGACACGGTTGGCTCGCGGGGCCTGATGAGATCAGGGCCCTTCTTCGGGCTTCAATGTCGCCTGTCTACCTGTCTACTTGTCTGCCTCACTCGCGGACTGGCTGGCTGATATTCAGGCTCTGAGCTTGCTGGCTTCTCTGGAAAGACTCGTCTCATCTCATTCCATCTCATCTCATTCTCAGCTGATGTGGGCTTGGGCTTGGGGTCTGGGAGATGACCGCGTTGGTATATGCTCTTTTCTGGGAGTTGGCTTATTGAGGACTTGTCATTTGGTCTACGAGGCAGGTCTGATGTCAGTCTGTGGAGGGAGAAGGGTGTCTGTGGAGATAATCTGGGGGCAGGGCGTGGTCTGTTGGGTCTTTGCTGTGCATCTATGAGGACGTTTCGGTATATGCCTGATGAGTAGATAGCGGTATTAGTAGACTGGAGTTGACTGGTGATCTAAGTTAGGCCAGGGGAGTAGCTACATACGGGCTTTTATTCATGTTCACATTTATCTTTTGGTGTGTATCTACTCACGGCTTTGGAGTAGACGGATGTATGTACTGTATGTAGTATTTCTGACTCGTTAGATGACGTTTACTAGTAGCGAGGATGGATTTTCCTCCTGAACATCCAAAGAACTGTTGCCGGAATCTCAAAACAAATTGAACAGGAGCTGTTTCAGGAAATTAAGTCAGGAACGCGAAGTATGCCCGTTTAGAGAAATGTTGCCTGCACTTTGAACCACAAAAAGCCTCTGCCGGCGATCTTCTTTGGCATCGAGCCTTGTTATGAAGCGCCGAGCACTGTTGACAGTGGTACGAGGTCTAGAAGGAGATTATCACCTCGAATTTGGCGCGGAGAGGTTATACGAGCAGGACACTCATCATTAAGACAGCATAGCCTACATGATATTAGACTATGAGTATGGTCTTTTATAGCGATATTGACTATCTTCGATCCCAACGTGTTTGGGTCAGATTGGCTTAAGGTAAGACCATTGGCATTTCATGTTCGGCGTAGAAATGAACCTACTATGAACTAGACACTCATGTTTGTGATGCTTTTTCCTATTACTCCAGAATATGCCGCGAACGGAAGCTTACGATGAGATATAGTCTACGTGATAAGCCCAAAGAATCGGAATTTATGATGACCAAAATGGAACGCCATCCAATTACATCTGATCTAGCTATCATACATAGATGATTAAAAAAAACATATTGTGTGATGATAGTACGGTTTTCTTGATCAGGAAATGCTAGGCCATAAATATCGGAGGTCCTCCAAAGTCATTTTCGGGACTCTTTTGAAGGATTGAAAACATACCAGAATGTCCCAACGACCGGCTTAAGACCTAACCTATATGTCAGGAACAAAGAATATGCCATCAACATACCTACGGGTTTGAAACCGTCGTCTAACATCTTTCAGAGAACAGATCCGATATCTCAATCGATCGAGGTGATGTGTTGTTGATGCCAATTGTAGATGGAGATTACTATGCCATTGAACCTGGAAATAACATCTACCGGCCTAAAACTGCTCCTCGTCTGTTATTACCCTTACATCTGACCAAAGAACACCACCATTATGACAATCACAACGGTCTAGAACCATGATATCCAGGTATGTAGGTTGAACGCAGACACCAAAATCATGGTTCGATGACGTCGTCACCCGCAGTCCCACCTATGAATCCAGCAACGAAACATCTCAAGAACAGCCGATTTGGAATAAAACCAACCAAAATAAACTGGAGATCGCGATCGAGATCTGGATCGAGATTTCCAAGGGCTCATGAACATCATCAGTGCCGACGTTCTTGTTCGGCATTTCCCTCTCCGGCTCCACAACGACGTAACGATGAACTCGTTACTATTTGTAGATCGCCATGAGGGAAGCTGGCATTTCCGGCGCTGGTTGACGTATGTATTGTGTTTCTGGGGCTTGGTTTAGTCTCCTGGGCTGAGATTGGATTGGACTGCTAGGTTGCGTGCTGTGGGTTGTAGTTTGCTCAAGAAAGGTGCACAGTTAGTTAGAGGTGGGTAAGAAAGTAGCTATAAATATCAACTCGATACCCTGTGCGCTCAACTAAAAACCTACTTAACATACCAGAATAATCTCTTTTCCTTCTATATACTCTCTGCAAAACATAAACCAAAATGTCCTCCCAATACAGCAAACAAGAGCAGTTCCCCATCGAGGTAGACGACGACGACATCGACCAGAGCCCCAATCTGGCTGACGACGCCGATTCCGAGGAACAGCTCGGTATGTTTCACCCTTTCATTGTTTCTTCTCATACACTCTCTACTCTTTCGAAGAATCGACAGAAACAAAACTGACATCTTAACCAACCCGTCTAGAACACGACGAAAACGATGCCATTGACAGGTCGAACATCATCCCCGGAGACGGTCTGCGTCATGCGAAGCCCCAGACTCAGAACCAGTACAGCGAGGGACCGGATGAGGATGATATTTAAGTTGCCTGTTTAGTTCGGGTTGAGGTTCTGTTGATGTAAGGAATTTTTATTTGTACTATTTGAGATAAAACTGTATGGTTATGGGTTGGTGTTCTAGAGATATTGATGGTCTAGCGGGTTTATTTGTACGATATGTGTGACATTAGTTCCATTTGATTTTTGCTGTAAAGTTTCGATTACCTTTCCAAGTGTAGATGAATAGTGCCCAGTGATCAGTCCCAAACGCCGTTGCGACAAACGAAAGCAAGATCCGGTGATCCATCGCGGCTGCTTTCTCGTTAGCAAATGTCATAATGTTATTCGGCTTGGGAAGAGCGATCTTACTAGAGATCTACATTGATTATTGCCTATATTCTTGAGCGCGGTGACAATGTCTTTGACCAGGCTGATGATGGTCTTGACCTATCATACAGCATCAAAATACTACTCTCCTAACATCATACAAGCTTCTCCTTATACGGTATTAAAGATTTCAAGATGATCTGGTGTTAGAGAGTACTTCTTAACTCTCTAACACTGGATGAGGGTCAGAAGTCAAATAATCCTAATATTGCTACCGAGCCAACTGTATATACCCCGATCAAGGAATATGAAGCTACATTACAATACATCGGTAGCGTGGAAATTTTTGTACGACAATTTTGATTTTGATTCCACTGGGTTTTCTGTACATTTACGTCCAAGTAGATGGGTGATCCAGGGTCGTAGATCAGAGAAGAGTGAGGCATGGACCTTGGAGAGAAGACCTGGAGGCACGATGACAGTAACCCAATGGTCTTTGCGATCAGTCATTCTTGAATTTCATTCCTTTCATTTCAACAGATTTTTTCTATGTATCCGCCATGTCTTACATAGAACTCCAACCTGATTAGTCATGGCATAAACTTATGTAGTATAATATTGAAGGCATTTCATTTTTGGCCGTTAAACCTGTATACAAGAAATCTAGAAGTCCTGCTCGTCGTCGCCGAAAATGATGACGTTGTTGATCTGGATGATGGTTAGCTCACATTCATCGGATTCTCATAAAAGAGTACTTGCCTTCAGAACCATGCGGCAGAGCTGAGTAGCGAGCAACAGTTGCTGTCGCTTGCTGATCAGGGGATCGATGGCGAAGTGCTCCCGCATATCTACAAATCTCATTAGCAATGATCTCTTGTTTTACCAAATCGGACGTCCACATACCGTTGTTACCGGTCAACATGCAGTCGACACCCAGTCGGGAGTTGTTCTCCTTAACCTGGCGCGACTTGACCGAGGCAAGGGTCTCAATGGGGCTCAATCCAGAGTTCTCGGCGAGGGCCATTGGCACGGCATCCAGCGCATCGGCAAAAGCGCGCATGGCGTACTGTTCGATTCCGGGGCTCTGCAAATGACATACCATGTTAGTACGTGACATTAGTGCATTCAATCCACGTCACATACCTTGACGGCGGCGTCTTCCACGGCCAGAGCGCAAGCGATCTCGGCAGCACCTCCACCATACACAACTCGGTTGTCACGGACCAGGTTGCGAACGACGCAAAGGGCATCGTGCAGCGAACGCTTGGCTTCGTCGATGATCTAATAACGATTATTAATACGTAATTCATGTCCACGAGAAGAATCGATCGGTCCTCACCATCTTGTTACTTCCTCGTACGAATATCGTAACGGCACGGCTGTTGGCGCAATCTTCAATGACAAGCATCTTCTCACGGGTGGTACCGAAAGTCATCTCCCGCACACTGCCGGCAGTTCCAAGCTTCTCCGCGCTCAGGTCTTCGAATCGGGGAACGATGCGACCGTTCGTTGCGATAGCGATCAGCTCGATTTCAGGGCCGCCGACCCACCGCACAGCGGGAAGCTTGTTCTGGAGCAGAAGGTGGTTGGCCTCGTCGTCGAAACCCCATTGGCAGATAACCAGGTTGGCACCCGCATCCTTCAGGTTATGGATCATCTCAGTGAACTTCTCGCTCTCGTAGTCTTGCAGCTTCTTGAATTCTTCGACGGATGTGATGTCGAGCTTGTGCTTGGTCTTCGGCTTGGGAGGCTCGAACGGGCAGGTCAGAATCGCCAGTTTGGCATCGCGGACTTCGTCGGGCATCTGAGGGTGGGAGAAGTCCTTGTCGACAATAACACCCTTAACAAGCAAAGAGTCTTCGAGAGCACCTCCAACCTTTCCATCCACCTTGATCAATTCGAAATCAACATCCTTGCGATCGAGATCGGCAACCGAAAGCACTGCGTCGACGGCGATCTGGGCGAACTGGTCGTGGGACTTGGAGACACTTGTCGACAGTTAGCATAAAGAGGGAGAAAGGCGGGTCGGTAGTAAAGGGGTTGCATACATCTTGCTACCCAAGCTGGTTTTTGCGACCTGCAGCAGGTTGTTTGTGTCATCCCGGCTGAACGGAATCGAGTCACTGATCTCGTCAAGCTTCGCAACGGCAATCTCGCAGGCTTGGTCGTAGCCATCGGCAATACGGATGGGGTGGATGCCCTTGTCAATAAGATCGGAAGCCTGCTCCAACATGGCAGCAGCCAAAACGACGACACCAGTTGTTCCATCACCAATCTCTTCGTCCTGGGACTTCGAAAGCTCAACCAAGAGCTTGGCGACGTTGTTTGTGATTTCCATCTTCAAAGGTCGGTGAGTTAGCGGAGCGATTGGAACGAGGGGTTTCGAGGAGCGGCGCGACGAACCTGACCCAGGATAGTAGCGCCATCGTTGGTAACGGTGATATCGCCATCTGCGGAGATCAAAATTTTATCGAGACCACGAGGACCCTGATCTTGTTAGACTTTCATCATATTGATGGGCTGTTGATAAGGTCCTACCAGAGAAGATTTCACGATGTTGGCAACGGTTTTGGCGGCAACAATGTGAGCTTTCACCGCATCGTTACCATGCTGTCTCTTCTTCTTTCCCTGGCTGTAGAGAACCGAGTGTATCAGCAACCGACCTCCGAGCCCATCATTGTATGGTGACCGCAACGTACTCTCGAACGACAATGAACGGCCGGCCCGATTCATCCTTCAACATGGAAGCTGTTGGTGAGTTGCGTTAGCGGCGGCACGATCTAGAATCACCTATTATTCCGAAAAAGTGTTTACCTTGGGACAAGTCAAGCTCTGGTAAAACGAAGATGAGATGGTCAGTGTGGTGGCTCCGGAATGAGGGGCATGTTGAGACATACGCATCGCCATTTTGACGGGTAGCTATGGGGGCAAAGAACCGAGTTCAGAGACCTGAAACGGTCAAGAGCGTGCAAACGGAGAAAAAAGGTGAAAGAAGCCCCCAAAGAAGTGGTTAGAAGAGTGACGTCGGGGGATCAGGGACCTGAGGCACGGCGATGTTCTTTCGCACTGGGCCTTTTTTAGAAATTCTGGAGATGTCCACAAGCGGACTAGTGAACTGGTTGCCCCATCGGGTATAGCGTGTATTGCCCACCAACGCGCATGCCTGCGCGACTCGGCATTTCTGAAGCGCCCAAGAACTAGTTATCATCTTCATTCATCTCCTGCCCGATTGTCCATCTTCATCACGCGGAAGTACTAGACTTCTCTATCGCCATAGAAACGAAGCCGCCACTCTGTTTTCACGGCTCTTCAATTTACCCAATCCTTTCAGGACAATGCCTCGTGAGTGATGCTTTTCTGACCATGGTCGCATAACAAGAGCCACGTCGAGCTGACTTCTACCCAGCCCCATTAGGAGATCATTCAGATGACGAATCGACCGGCGAGTCTATTCCCTTTAACGACGCCAAGGAAATCGAGGAGCCCAACGACAAGGCTGAGGAAGACGATGGGGATAACGGGGATGACGGAGATGAGGATGAGGAGGGCGTGTGAGTTTATGATGCAACCTATTCAATCTGCAGCCCGCATTGACTCACCAACAAAAGCTACATCGTCGAAACAATTGTCGGCCACGAATGGGCCAAAAATGTACGTTTTATCAATGCGCCTCGTTTTTATTGATTGCGCCTTGCTAACTTGGCCTTAGGGTGCCCTTCTCCTCACGGTGAAGTGGAAGGGGTACGATGACCCCGCGGACCAAACGATGGAACCGGAAGAGAACCTATTGTATGACAAACTGGATGACGTCTGGCAAAAGTCGGGAGCTAAACATTTCGCAACAGGGAGGGTGCCGAGGACGTGGTGAAGGAGTACTTCAAGACTCTGGGAGGTCGACCAACGAAGCCGCAAGCCCAAGGTCGAAAGCGCAAGTCGATGACCGCAGCAAAACCAACCTCCGAGAAGACACAGCCCAAGAGGCGCAGGAAATCGCAAGCTGATACTGCCCCCGCCGAGGCAACCGACGACTCCGATGCGATGAAATGGGTACCGAAGTCCAAGAACTGGGAAAATGAGGTTGAGAACGTCGACACTATCATGCGCGACCCGGAAACATCAAAATTGATCGCTTATCTCCACTGGAAGAATGGCAAGAAGTCTAAGGTTTCCATTGAATCTTGCTATAATAAGTGCCCGAAAAAGGTGAGCTCCAGGTCTTTCATTATAGGGGGCATCGACTGACATTTAGGAAGATGCTGAAATTCTACGAACAACATCTGTGAGTTATTGACATTTATGAGTTTCTCTACGACAACCGCTAATTCATTTTAGGGTTTTCAAAAATGCTTAAATCGATACCAATTTGACTTGTTTTATTCATTAATTTCTATCTCTTATTTTGATCTCATTTCATGAGGCCCATTTTGTCAAATTGAGCTTTTCGAGGAATACCCGTTGATGAGTCGCACACTCTTCGGCATCCCATTGCTGGGATCTTGCGGGTATCGAAAATCGCAGCGCATAACGGGTGTTTGCTGGAGTTTAGCGATCGAATGCGATTTCCGATTTGTAAGATAACTTTGGGTAATGCTTTGAACCCCTGAATTTTAGGGGAGGGGCCCATTTGGGCTGTACATGCAAAGTCATAGGAGAGAAAATTCACAAAAAAAAGGGTGTCTGGGCAAGCAAGCAGGGAGCTCAGCTTATGAATATTTTTAGGTATCCATGCCGGTCGTGGTTTTTCCTTTGGGTATTATCAATAACATAATTTTCGGAGTCACAATATCCTCATTTTCCTCATTTAAGTACTTTACTTGCTTTGCTGTTAGGGGCCATGACGGCTATTAGCTATGATTATGACCATCAAAGTTCTGTGATACCTTCCTCCTAACCCATTTCCAGACCGGCAGTTCTTGCCATGGCGAGATAGTGCCAGCGCGAGTTCAAGAATTCAGAGCCGTGCTTTTCTAAAACCCTTTTGATATCTCTGGTGTCTCCCCCTTGGATGCATTTGTCATCCTCAGCTGTCCAGACTCCTGGCATATCTTTGGGGATGTCCTTTCCTGCAACTAGGTGTTTTAGGACTTGATCGGCGAGTTGCGGGTCCATACTGGTACAGCGCAGAGCCTCGATGATTTGATCCTCGGTCTTTGCTATTCCAGTACGGAGATGGTCGTCAATCCAAGCGTCAACGTCTTGTTCTGGCTGTTCATCGGGTTCTGAGCTCTCTGGGGTGGATGGTAGGAAAGGAAGCTCAAGGAGACCTGCGTCAACGTCAATTGGCTCCGGCTCTTGGGGTCCGAGTGCGTCTTGTATTGAATTCAGGTAACTGAGTAATTGTTCCTGCTCTGGTGCAGGCTTTGGTGCTTTTTCAAGTTCTCGCTCTGACTTTCGCTCTGATTCCGGTTCTCGCTCTAGTTCTGGCTCTCGCTCTGGCTCTGGCTCTGGCTCTGGTTCTGGTCCTGGTTCTGGCTGTCGCTCATGAATCTTTTTAGGACCTTTTCCCATCTCATTACTGCGCTTTTTGGTTATACTCTCATCAAGGGCTGGGAGTATGAACTTTGGCGGAGGCGCATGTTTTTGTCGAGACGAAGTCTCTTCACTTTGCTGAGGGACATCCGGGGTTGGGGTTTTCGTGTTGCTTCCAGGGCTCCCAGTTGCCCTTCGCTTCCGTGCAGGGATATCCCCTCCGTCTGAATCAGTGCCGTCTGAGTTGTCAGAAGTCGGAGTGCGTTTCCTTTTCCTAGATTCAGGTAGCTGAGTAATTGTTCCAGGTCCTTGAGACTTTTGCTGTGATGACGATGCAACAGCTGCAGTAGTGGTTCGAGTTGAGGTTTCCGTTCTTTGATTGCTTCCTTGTGTGGCAGAAGGGGCAGTCGATTGCGGCATACCCCCCGGGCGTGGTCGTCCGCGGAGCCTTTTTAAGTATCGATCGCGATAAGACTGAAAAGTGTGCCTCGGATTCTGATTTCATGAGATGATTGTAAGGATACAACAATGTCGTTTTTATAGTGTGAGGGACAGTCCTTACCACTACGGCTAACTCCTGATAGATTTTGTTACCCTTGATAGAAGCACTGGGATCACCTTCGTATGTCTGCACCCAATCCCAGAGTTCTTGGTCGTCTTGCACAGTGTACAGGATCTTATGTCCCCTGCTGGGTAGATTGGTCGCCCCTACCGGACGAGGGGCCGAAGATGCACACCTGTAGTCTTCCAACTTTTGTAGACGCCCTTGGCGAATTGAATCCTCAACGAAGCGATAGGAAAATCTAGTGTAACGTAAGCATACCTCAGTGCCATCAAGGAGACGTAGATCACAAACAGACGGAAAGATCTTACGCGTTGGCCGGAATATTTCTTAGATGTCTTTTCATATGATCCACCAATTTGATTTCAGCATCTTTCTCAAAGAGTCTTACGAGACCGCCATTTCTCTATACGACAATTAGGTCTCAAAACAAACACCCTAGCATGTCATTGCACAATACCTCGATGGAATCCTTGAATCGACTTCTCTGTGGAATGTTCTTCGACAGCCAAAACTGCTTGCCCTGGAAAAGCAAGTTGGATGCTGTACTGGAACTTCCCTTGACTCCTTCCACGTCCGTCTCCGCCATTGTCACTAGAAGATCATTTGAGAGGTAAGTCCCCCCCCCTTTAGGCCATTCACAAGAGCACGACGCGCAGTCACGTGTTCTGGTATCGAAGTGAGTATGTCCCAGATCGCAAGCGACAGACAGGTTCGTATACGAGTAGCCTGGACTACAGCTGCATCGTGTAGAATTTGAGTTTAAACAGGAAAAGAGGAATGGTGATCTCTAAGTTGACGATGAGGTCAGAACCAATCTTCCACCAGCACGCGTTCCGCGTAAGGGACCGGTGAATTGATGCCTTAGGTACCCACCAGGGAGCCGGATCACGTGTAGGAACGGGTCCTGTGCCTCGCGAGGCCAATGCTCACTGGCCAACTTGTCCTAACTGGCGCTAACGTTGGATGTTGCTTGCCTTAGCCATCCGCTGGAAGGGCAACACAACCCCTCCAGAATAAAATGACTATTCCTGCTTAGTGGCTGCAGAGGACCGATATACAGCATCGGAATGCCAGTTTAATAGTGTTCCTCCTGGCCCGCACCATTCTTATTCCATCCAGCTATACAGGAGGCGGCATTCGACAAGCCATTCGGTTGGCTCAGGTCTAGAAGGCAACAATGGGGTCAATTAGAACCATTGCCTTGGTTATCCTGGGAATTTCTGGGTTCACTTTTGTTGCCCTGTTTGGCAAGCTTCCAGCTCTGCGGTACGAAGAAAAAAGAACACGTGCCTAAATGACTGAGGCTGATACATACGCTATGCAGGCGAACACCTATTGGTCTGCTTCACAGAATCATATGCATACATATTCCAAATGGGATCGCTCGTCTTGACTCCCATCTGCTAGAAGGTCGAGTTGTTCGCGGTTGGAGCAAGTCCGGCAATTATATACTCCATGAAAATCACCCCCTGGTTCTAGTCAGTTTCAACATAGGACACTTCTATTATTGCATGCTGACAAAGTATATAGATATTTTTCACGGCTCTTCTAATCATAGGGCAGTGGATCTTCATTCCAAGTGCATGGTCTAGAGTTTCAGCCGTCCACAAAATTTGTGTTCCGATTGCGGCGAGTTTACCCTACGTATTCTTGTATGCTAGCGTCGTCACCAAATCCTTCATCACACCAGGAAACCATGCCGAGGAGATGGAACGGTATCCCTATGATAAAGTCATCTTTCATCCTGGACATCATTGTGGCTCATGCCATCTGCTTAAACCAGCAAGAAGCAAGCATTGCAAGTTCTGCAAGGCCTGTGTGGCGCGATACGACCATCATTGTGTATGGCTCACCAATTGTGTCGGGCTAAACAACTACCACTATTTTTTGTCGCTGATCATGTCGCTTTCGGTGATGCTGATCTACGGCTCATTGCTTGGTTACGCCCTTCTATGTCAGACCTATGACAAGCTCTTGCCACCCGGCTCACCCTGGCGGTCCCCTGGGCAAAGCTGGACAGCCTTCATTAATGTATGGACCGTGATAATTACCGTGGACCTTCGAATCGGAGCCATCACCCTCCTAATGGCCATGACAGCTCCGCTGGCGGTCGCCTTCCTGGTCTACCACACGTATCTGATCTGGGCAGGCATGACGACCAATGAGAGCGCTAAATGGTCCGACTGGAAAGAGGATGTGGCGGACGGCATCGTTTTCCGGTCAAATAAAGCCGAAATTTATGGCACCTCCCCCTTGCTCGGTGAGTATCAGAGTGTGCATACTTCCTGGCCTGTCAGCAGCGAGCAGGTCTTGGTCTTTACCGACGGCGAAGCTCCCAGAGAGGGGTGCATCTTGTCACCCGACTCCAATGACATTCGACAGCCGCAGAATTTCCAGATTGTGGCAATTGATCGGCGATGGGAGCCTGTACGCAGTATGAGGGAAGTCGACAATATATACGATCTGGGCTTCTGGAACAATTTGCGTCATGTTTTTAACTTCCCTACCCGGCGCAAAGTGTCATAGCGCTCGAATTGGATTATTTCAATTTGATTCAGTATGGTAATAATATTATCCAGGAATATAAAACGATTTGACTAGTGAATGAAGGACTAAATGTACATAGAAGTAGTGAATAGTTGAATAAATGGCTGACAAAAAAGGCGGTCCCGCCTTCCCTTCGGAGCCGGAAAAAAATCCCTTCGTCTTTCGGTGTTTCCCCTCCGAGCATCCGCAACACTTTTCGAAAGCACCCTGCGAGCAAACCTCAGGTCCTATCGCATCGCAACGAGTGTCGCACGACCCTCACCCGTGCTGTCAAGATGGCAGACCGAACCGCAATTGATGCGAAGCCGAAATGTACCCCGGCCGAGCTCATGCTGAAGGTCATCCTGACGGGGACTCTGAGCCACTACGAGACTCGCGGCATGATTGACGAAAAGCGTCTGGAACATATGCTGGCGGCGGGGAAGTCGATATTGTATAAGACTCACCAGGAAAGCGACGTTAGGTATGCCATTGGTTTCCCAAACCCCTCCTGTCCACCGTTGTCAACAAGTCATTTGTGCTGACCTCGCCCCTCATGGTAGGCACAATCTGGGCCTGTCGCCGGCTATCTGGCAGGGCTTTACGGACGTATTGACCAAGGCGATCCCGGTCCTCGAATCGCAATCCTTTGCTTGGAAATGCCCTCCTACCGCAAACTACGATCATTCCTCCTCCAACCTCATCGCCTTCAACTACTTTTCACTCGTCAAGGACATCGAACGCCTCAATGACTTATGTACTATCGCACGGAATCTTCTTGCGACCACAAAAAAGGCGCAAAACATGGCGGCAGAGAAGGGGTTTGATCAGAGAATTCTGGCGCTGGTAGACACTTGTGTCCGGGTGACGGCGCGGGGCTTTGATGGCGAGACCAATGCGAGGAATGAGGAGCGCTGGCAGAAAGTGGTCAACCTTTACAAACGGCTGCTGATTACCTGTCTCCAATTCCTGCATAACTTCATCATGCACAATGAGCAGCGGAAGATGGTCCTCTGGCTGGATCTCTTCGGGTACCATTCAACCGGAGATTCAAACATCATCCAGCCCAGAGAACCGCTTGATCAAGCCATGAGTCAACCTGAGGGAGTCGCGCCGATTGTGAAAACCGGAGAGAGAATAGTCAACCCTCCGATACGGGCTCTGTACGACCAAACGGCGGAGGACCTGCTTCTCGAGACCATATCCAACTTTCCCCGGGAACCTGCGACCATCAAAGAGGAGGCGGCGATGTTGCTTCTCGCCAACATCAAGGACCACATGGAAAAGCTTCTTGGACGCGACCTGACCGCCATTCAGGAAATGGGCAAGGACCCGGAACAGGTCAAGGAGATTCGCGCCGCTCTAACTGCCATACTGGGAGCGAAGGTTGATGGATGGACCGACCTTCAAGACCGAGCGAAAGACCTCCCCCCAGCCCTGCCCGAAGATGAGCCACCGCGCAAGAAAGCCATTCTCACGATCGACCGCAGCATGACTGCAGGGTTTCCTCGCATCTGCTGGTCCGATCTTCCGGATCTTAGCGACTACGGTGCTTTGGCATCGGGCGACGCGGCCATCATGGATGAGGACACAAGCATGCCGCGATCTGCTCAGTCTGCTGCTGAGACACTCCAAGAAGCCAAGGATGAGCTGATGGCACGTCTGCAGGAGTCATCACAGCTCGGCGATGGCGCGGATGGAGATTACGATACTGGCGATGCCGGAACGGTCGGTGATGATGACTCTCGTAGCCTGGAAGCGGTGGCCGACGGGAGCATGGAGGAAGAAGAGGAAGACGATGAAGATGACGATGACGACTACCGAGGCCGTCCAGGCGACCAGCAACGTGGCTTGCTAACAGACATTCCGTTGGTTCTTGGACCGGCAGAGATAGAGGCTCTTCCAATGATCATTCAAGCCGGTATTGTGGACAGCTTTGGCCTCAAGGGTGGGGAGAGATCGGGCACAAGGAACATGCAGTCTCTTCGTTGCCACATCTTACTCACCCAGGAAACTGGCCGAAACCTCCTCCGGGAGCTTCTAATTTTCATCGCCGCATGGGACCTACCTGACGACGAACTCTACTTCAAGATGATGGTGCAGATCATGGATGCCGTTCTACGGAACGGATTAATGTCCCATGCTTATTCCGATTTTGGCCAGCCCAAGGACATCATCTCCCCAGCGCAGGCAGTTGTCGTGAAGATTCTCACTCACATCTTCCGAGCCAAATACTCACCTGCCTCGGTCACCGGATCCACGCCGGCCAACCCTACCAAAAGTCCGGCTCCGCTATCAAGGGTCGACATTCTGACCGTGCGCTACATTTTCACCATCTTCCGCGGCAATATCATTCCCGAGACCTGCGCGTTGATCTACCTCCAGGGCCAGATCCGGGCCGGACGGGCGCTTCCCGAGGACTTCCCTCTGAACCTGTGGGACATGGAACGCGTCTACGAAGGTGTCTATCAATTCCTCGAGTTCTTCGCCGTGCTCACCGAAAACAACGACTGGAAAAACCTATTGGTCAAATGGGAAATTGTCTACGATCTAGTCACGTTGATCAAGGAACTCGAAGCCAGCATTCCCAAGGGACAGTTAAGCGCACTGCCATTCGGACGCAGCAGCAGCCCGTCCAAGGACTCCCAACATGGCGGTGCAGTCCCCGGACCAGTTGCGGTAGAACGGCCCTACGATCCCAGCGACCCGGATCCGGTGGACGCAGGTCCCGGATCTCGAGCCGAGTCCCCCCCTATCACCGAAGATCCGTCGGAATTCGAGTGGCGCAATCTCAAGAAGCTGGTTGTGCTCGTTCTCTCGTCGTTAGTCTGGAAGTGCCCCGAGGTACAGGACCAGATTCGCCGACATGGCGGTGTCGAAGCCGTGCTATCTTGCACCAACTTCGATGCGCATAATCCGTACATCAAGGAGCACGCGGTCATGTGTCTGAAGTTCTTGCTGGAGGGCAACCGCGAGAACCAGAGGCTCGTGGAGGAGCTGGAAGCTCGCGAGGTTGTAAAGGATGACGGGGGGCTGTTGGAGAAGAGCGGATTCGAGGCCGTGATTGACAAGACGGGCAAGCTGGCAATCAGACCGAAGGAGGGTCCGGCCGAGAAGAAGTGACCAGACTTGCTGGCTCGTAATTACCCATGCCGAACATTTTTATGAATTCAACCGAAATAACGTGTTTGATGTCTTTTTATTCAATTTTTTGCGTCTCCAGTTCAAATGATAGCACATGCATTAATCATGTCATCAATCATATCATCCGTCCACTATACAATACCTACTATCAGTCTTCCCAACCATTAATTCCATCCGTAACAGCCTCAACCCTCATTCCATACTAAGCACTTAACCATACATCCCATCCCACTCCTCCTCGTCATCCTGCTCGGCAATCTTTTTCCTCGCCTCCACCTTCTCCCTCTCCTGCTTCGCGAAATCCGTCCGGTCGAGCGGACACGTTCCCCGCAGGCGCAACCACGGCCGCACACACTCCATGTCAAACAGATGCGTCGGGTGGCACGGCAGCCGCACAACAAGCGGGTATTTATCCTCTAGAAAGGGATTGTTGCAGATAGGGCAGGTCTGGTCCGGCTTTAGGGATGCTCGGGGGACGCGATCGAGTACTATACCACGAGCACACACACACACACATCATCATCATCATCAGCAAAAGATCTTTCCCAATGACTAGAACGTAGCCGATAGGTAGGTAGGTAGGCAGGTAGGTAGAACAAGTGGTGGACCGCCGGGGCGGCATTCCAACCCGACAGACAAGGTAGGAAAGAACATACCATCACAAAACTCCTCACTCACGCCCTCGACCTCTTTCGGCGGCATCTCTGCCTGACTCAACAACGACTGAATCATCTCCGTCAACAAACCACCCCCAGACCCAGCCTCACCATCACCGCTCCCCGCGGGCGTCATGATCCCCGGTCCTTCGCGACGCATGACCTCGAAGGCCTCGGCGAGGGAGTAGAACGCTGCGCTGACATCGTGGGGAACGGGGACGGCGTGTGGGCGCGAGCGACCGGTCTCGTCGGGGCTGATCTCTGAGAGCGTCGCGAAGAAGGTGGAGAGGTCGGGGCGGCGGCGGCGCGCGGAGGTGGTTGTGGAGGGGTCGGTGGTGTTGTGTTCCACTGTTTTTTTTTGGTTGAGAGGGGTACGGTTAGTTTGGTGATTTATGTATGGGCGGAGGGAGGGAGGGAGGGGTGGGAATGAGGGTGAGCTTACCTTCGTAGGTGGACATGGTGGGTGGGTGGATTTGTTGGTGGTGGGTTGGAGATAGATGGAGGTGAAGGGAGATGAGGTAGGTAGGTAAGTAGCGCGGGGTAAAATTTGGAGGTCCGCTAGATTAGGCAGAGTCGACTCGTTTTAGGTCTCTCGATCTGGCGAGAAACTAATCTGGTTGACAATTAATTGCAGAAAAAAACCGAGGGTTGAAAGAGAGTGGGATGGTAGGTGGTTATAACTGAAGAGTGGGAGAATGACGGAGGAGAAAGGCAGCAGCGGAGACGCGTCTGTTGGTTTTGCTCGGTTGCATTATCACATCCGTCATGGATACTCCCCGTTCTTCCTTTTCCAGGTCCCACGCTGTGCTCCTGAATTGTTCGTCGAAGTTTTACAAAATAGATGGTCTTTGCGCTTTTCAATGGGTTGAATACTGTTAAAATTGACAAATTCCCCATGCACGTTACTCATATCCCATCCGAATACAAATGCTTCGCTAATAACAATATCACCAAATTGACTAATTAATACGCACCACATTGTCCAATTTCTTCATCAGTAGTTGAAATCCTCATATACAACTGTTTCCCCAGTAAGCCAGTCCATCACCGAGCCTTTTAGAGCAGGACTGCCGCAGAAATACCACACGTCTGCCAATAAAAGGTCCAGGTCCGCAGCATGCATTCTGTGCCGCTCAACTTGCACTTCCGTCCCCTTGATTGCTTCCAATTGTTGGACCGCTTCTTCATCCTGGGGATCTGGCCCCGTCAGGAAAAGCTTCGTGGATTGGGGCAGTTGAGGAAATCGCTGGAATGTATCCACAACTAGCCCGATGTCATCGGTGTGCATGGACCAGAAGAGACGCAGACGACTGATATCAATACCCGGAAGCTGTGCAATGACGGGCGTTATCCCGATGCCGCCAGCGATAAAAGGGAAAATATCCTGCCCGCCTTGAGAGCTGATCGCAAAATCACCGCCAAACCCCTTCAAGGGAACTTCCATTCCAGCTCGTTCGCTGGTCTGGAAAAGATGGCGGGTGACGTTGCCGTGTCTGCGAGCTGTGATCTCGAATTCATCGGGCGGGAGGTATTTGCCAGGATACGACGATACCGTGAATGTTCTGACATAGTCGTCGTTTAGACTAGACGGGTCGTCATCTTGCATGTGATGATATCCCGTGCTCAGTTCTTCCTCGAAAGAGAATGTTGCGTATTGGCCCGGCGTCCATGGTCCCATTTGTTTAGGATCTGACATACGGAAGCGAAATCGGCCAATATTAGGGGTAATGATTTCTTTCCGCACCAGGGTGGCTGTGATAGATGGACCTTCGTCAATAGTCGGGATGGCCTTCTCGCTTGCCAGGTACCGCACGCTTGGGTTGTATGGAGATGGGTCCCCTGCGATGCCTCGAAACGCGAGGGTTCTCTCTACATATCGAGCAGCAGTGACGGTCACCCTCACGGCGAGATTGGATCTCGGCAGCACGGCGGCCGCATTCTTGCCGACCAGAATCTCTACTGTTCCGGTAGCAAAAAGCGCATTCCCCGTTTCGAAATCTGGAAAGACATATCCCGCGAGCGGAGTCACCTGGAGGTTGCCCAGGGTCTGATATAATCGATTGCCCGAATATTCAGGGTAAACAAAAACGGCTCCACTCGGCTCATTGGACACCACACGAACGAAACCAGGGGGGCCTCCGCGAATATTCGTATCCATGTCGACTGTTCCATTAGAAGAAGAGATGAAAAGCGTGTCAACTCGATCCAGGAAGCTAATAGCATCTGGTGGTAGTTGGGGAGAATCGGAAACCAATCTTGGATCCGGCAAAGCAGGCACGATATGCCTTATATTTATATATTTGGGGCAATTTCCTGCATTCGTAAGCATATGAAGGTTGTTTCGTGATAAGACAAGTACTAACCTAAACTCGCGTCAATATGGACTGCCATGTTCGCAATTCCTGTATGCTCTTCAGCGGCGTCGTCCCCGTCTACTGAGGCAATGGACCCGGAAATCTGCCTGCCGTGGAGCTTTCCCCGACGGCGAGATTCTAGGTCAATTACTAGGCCCGAGAGTAGCCTTTTGGTGGACTGATCTTTTGGCGAATCTTGCAACAGCACATCTACAAGAGGATCGTATTTGCCATCAACAGGGGTGTTGATCTGGACGTAGCCCTCAGCCGTGGGAGTTGCGAAGCCGACTTCGCCACCCCAGATGGTCGTCCAGGGTTTTCCCTCGCGGTCAACTGCACCAATGGCCATCAAAGGAAAGGTCTGAAGATACATATGTATCCTGGGGGTTAGGAAAGGGTTTGTGGGGTTGTCCGGTAGTGGGATATGGAGTAAGCTATGCATCTTCTTCTCGCCATCGTGCCAGGCCATAGGCCCCGTGATGATAGACGGCATGACGGATATCGGGTTGCGTCGGGGGTTCAAGCCAAAGGAAGCTAGGTCATTGCATTTTAGAGCGCAGGAAGTTCTCGTCTTCTGGGGGTATTTAATCCTTTAGAAACTCGACGTCGGTGCTAGATGGCATCATCTCTCTAGACCATTAGTCAAGGTCGGACAGTGCGGCGGGGTAGTTTATTTGTCAGGGTTCCAGACTCCAGCTTGGTCAGCAGGGCTGAACTCTGTGGCTGCTGAAAGGGCGTTGGTGTAGATGAAGTGCAAATGGGAGTTAGCAGTGTACTGGGGATCTCCATGGTTCTCGGTCTCATGCCGTCTTGGATGACAATCGAGGATGGCGTCAGGGATGGGAGTTGACTGTTTCAGATATATACACCGTTACCACCGTCATAGATTATGTTTGCAATGAAGAGCTTCATAGTGAGTGATTTAAGCCGCTATATAGGTCCTAACATTCCCCAGTTCAAGGCATTCCCGTATAGATTGAATTGAACATCGTCCTGCAGACGCATTTAGCAAGGCGGAGGCTCAGGGACCCTGGCGAGGATCGATACCTCAGGCCGCAGCAATATCCGTAGGGCGGGAGCTGCCCCAGGCACCCACATCAGGCAGTCAACCCGATCGGGCTGACACGGCACGTGCCAGGGCGACCGTCACGGGACTTGGAAAATGGCCTGACAATGCAGGCAACGTGTTTGGGGTGTTTGGATGCATTTCTCCTTTTTTTCTCGAGGTGTCGAGGTTGTACAATACTGTTGATGCAACAAAGCCTGAAGGAAGAGCGAGTCCTGCGGTCTCTAAGCGCAATCTGGTTTCCCCGACGCCTGTTGTCGGTCGTCGTCATCGTATTTAAGTACCCACTAGTTTGACTGGCTTCTTTCTTTAGCAACACCCGCAGTGGAGTCGAGATCGGCCGAAGGAGGCGCTGCACTGCGCACGATTTCACCCACGGCTAACCGTTGCTCTCGCTTTCCATTCTTTTGCAGTTCCTGTCTCTTCTCGACCTCTTCGCCCTCGTTTCTTTTCTACTCGGAGTTTCTTTTTCTTTTTAATTTTTCATCGCTTTTCTCACGCCCCCAGTCAAAGGAAACGCCCTGCATCATCATCTGACATCTGACAGCGCGGCGTTTCAGCGCAGATCTCCATTTGTTTACCTCGCATCGCTTTTCTCCACTTACGCCGACTGGAGTTAATCCCATCATTCCCACGACAGCATCATGCGAGCCAAATCTGTGAAGCCGTCGGCGTACCCTGCGCTGCCATTCCATGTCATTCGGGGTCTCAACTTGCTCTCTGCGTTCCTCGTCGCTATTATTCTGGCCGTGTTTACCTCCAACCTGTCCAAGAATAATTATAAGCTCCCGTGGGCTTTCTTAGTGGTAAGGCTGCCATTTTCACCACCTCCCCATGGGTCGACCATACAGCAACGAACAATCAAGCTAATTTCCATCTCTCGCTCCCATAGCTCCTCATCTCATCTGTCCTATCACTCCTCAACTTTGTCCTCACTACCATCACCCACTGCTGCTATGGCCTCTCTCCACTACTCTCCGCCACCACCAACTCCATCCTCTTCTTCCTATGGCTCATCTCCCTCGGCCTCATAAGCTACAGCATGTCGCACACCATCATGACCACCTGTAACGCCACCTTCTGGGGCACGTCGACGGGCATCAACGTCTGCCGGATCTACAAGGCCCTGTACGCCTTCACCGTCGTCGGCACGGCCACCCACCTCGCCGGTATCGCGCTCGACGTCATCGTCCGCAGACGCCAGAACCGTCTCGGCGCCTACGACCCCATGGCCTCCAGCACCGCCCTGAACGACTACAAGATGCACAACCGCGACAGCAGCATCATGTCCGGCGGCATGGCTCCCTACGGCCCCTACAACGACAACATCCACCCCGATGACGACCGTCACCCGGCCTTCCGCCACCAGCACCAGCCCTCCGACGACTTCTACAACGTCCCAGACCCCATGGTCTCCGGCGGTGCGGGTGGCCAACAACGCGTCCCGCCGCCCGTTTACGGCGCCAATTCCTCTTTGGAACAATACCATGCCGGCGACGCGCAGGACTATGCGGAGACGGCTCCCGCCCTGAGCCAGCGACGGGCTCCGCGTGTGCGCTTCAGTGCGTATGACGGATACGGTCACCCCCCGGAGCAGACGACGGGATATGACCCTGCTGCTTATCGGTAGATGTTTCTGTACAAGTGCTTTGTTTAAACTAGAAAGAACTGCAAACTACTGCAGCTTTTATGTGATAGGAGATCAGCTGGCTGGCTGGCTACCTCATCTCTATTATGTAACCATTCAGCCGGTCATGATCCTCCCCATTTCGATATGACGTGTTACGAACATTGACATCGCAAAAATGGAGGCCTAGCCCAGGGTCTCGTTTATTTGGACACTGATTTTCGTTTCTTTGCAGACGGCGTCATTCGGGTGTATGCGTTATTTCTTGTCTTTTCTCTTATTCTTCTTAACAAGTCCAGCGAGGGTCGTTTTGTATTCTATTTGCCTGTCTTGTGACCTTAATGCATATGAGACTCTAGATAGTGACAATATAGTATTATATGAACTGATATTTTTATCTTGGTACGTTCGTGGGGATTGAATTGACGTTATCCAACTGTCTAGGTGAGTAGCCAAATTGGTTGTGTAGAACGCGACCGAGAATTAATTTTGGTTGAAGGAATGTATATGGGGAGACGTAATCGTGAGTTCGATAGAGATAACTGCTAACAATGCATAGCCGTAGGATTATGAATGTAAGGTATAAGTACTAGGAGTAAAACGGAGTATTAGATTCCTCAGAGGGAAATGAACACGGGTGAGATGATATAATATGTATGCAACCAAAAAAAAAAAAAAAAAAAAAAACTTCAAAGACATTTATTCCAAGACTCTTCTACATGATAACCTCGTTGGCGACGTCCTGGATAATAGTATTGTTAGTTCTATTGTAATGAGGGAAGACAGAGAGGGGGAGAGAGGGAGACGTTACCCGCTTGAGTTCCTTATAAGGCAGACAGACACAGTTCTGAACACGCACTTCGTCGCCGACACCACACTCCTTGCCGAGAATGGTGATGCTCTGGACCTTGATTCCGTGCTTCACGATGCTGGTCGAGTGGGTTCCATTCGGGATCGGCGTGCCCTCGACACGCGCCCAGGCGCCCACCTTGCTGTTCCACCCGATGATGGAGTGCATCACGCAGGCATCGTGCTTAATCTCAGTGTCCTCCAACACGATTGAGTCCTTGACACGGGCGCCCGCGCCGACAACGACACGCGGTCCGATGGAGACGTTGGGGCCCAGCTTGGCGGTGGGGTCGACGCTGGCGGAGGGGTGGATGTACACGGGCGGCACGATGGTGGCGGAGGGAGGAGTGAGTTCGTCAGACTGCGCCTGGAAGGCCTTCTGCAGGTAGAGAGCGTTGGCAGGGACGGCGGAACCGGCGGTCTTGATCTGGCGCCAGAAGTCCTTGGTCTCGTGGACGAAGAAGCGGTTGCTGTCGGCCAGATCGGACAGGATGTCCTGCTCCAGACGCAGGACCTCGTTCTTCTCTTCATCTTCGGCGGCGATGAAGGACGTCTCCAGGTTTTCGGAGGAGGGGTAAGAGACGAGACGCGGGCGGGTGGTGCGACGCTTGATGGCACTGCGGATGGAGGGGAAGATGCATTCGGTGGCGAAGAGATACACGCCGCAGTTGATGAGGTTGGAGATGTGCGACTCGGGCTTCTCGACGTAGTGAAGCACCCGCTTGGTGTGCGAATCGGACACGATGCAGCCGAAGTTGGAGGCGGCGTCGTTGCTCACCCGGGTTCCCAGAATCACGGCCTCGGCGTCCTTCTCCTCGAACAGTTTCAGCATCTCGCTCAACGGGAAGGAGCAGCAGACGTCGGCGTTGAGCACGAAGATGCGCTCCGGCTTGCCCTTCAGGATGGCATCGCGGAAGTGGTAGAGACCGCCGGCGGTGCCCAGCGAGGTGTATTCGCGCAGGTACTGAATGCGGAACTGCGGAAATTCCTTGGCGGAGTCTTTGATGAAGTCGCGGAAGACCGACTCGTCGTAGTAGCCGACCAGGATTACTTCACGGATATCGGGGATCTTCGCAAGGGCCTTGAGACCATGGTGGATGATGGGATGCCCGGCGACTTCGAACAGAGGCTAGAATAACACGGGAGCCGTCGGTAGTCAGTGTGATTGCTGGGCGAAGATCATGGGCAGAATGGCGGGGCAGCGGAGGAAGAGGGAGAGCGACTCACCTTGGGCACGTCGAGAGAGAGGGGCCTAAAACGGGTTCCTCTGGACGGACCTCCGACCTAGAATGAAGCTTTCTGTTAGGAACAGGCAATTTCAAGCGCCAGGGACAGTCAGGGACACACCCACCAAGATGATGGCCTTGGTGGAGGCCACGTTGGTGTGTTCCCGCACTGGAACTTGAAGCATCGAGACGAGTGGAAGGAATTGAAGGAATTAAAGATAAGGATGTGGATGTCTGCAGGTATCGCAGAAGAGAAGACGGAGAGAAAGGAAATAGAAAGCGACCAGCAAGAAGAGAGGAGGAGGGGAGAGAGGGAGAGAGACAAGCAAGCAGCGCATCTCCACCAGCAAGGCCCGTTTAGCGTCATTTCCGGTCAGGAGAACCATGGGTTTCCATGGTTCACCGCTTGCTCCACTGGGACGATCGCTTCTATATTATCTTAAATTTATTTTCAAGATGGAAAATGGTCCTGGCGAAAATAAAAGAATATTTAATAAAAATCAAATCAAATCGAAGGAAATACACCAAGTCCCATTTGTCAGAAGTGACAGGTAGACTCTTGCAAGGATGAAGCATCGTCGTTTGTTCTTTCTGGTTGGTGCCGGAAGTCTGTCCTCGCCTCACCCATTTCACTGCACTTCTATACAGCTTCTTGTCGTCTCCTGGAATCCACTACATCGACCTTTCGTACTTCAGGTCTGCCCTTTTTTTCACCATGGCTGTAGAAGAAGGCTATAAATATCTCCTTCATTTGGCTCGCCCTTCCATCCACTTGGACATCCTTTCCTACCTGCTTCCCCTTCATTCACTTTCTAAAGGAGACTTCCTCTTGCTTGACTTTCTCTCTCTTTTACCAAGTTCTCTCTGTTCCCTCTCTCTTCCTACTCCTCTCCCTCTCACACTCGACTTCTCACCCACTTACTCTCTCTATCATTTCCTCACGTTATCCTCTATCTCTCGTCTACTAGCCCGTACCAGTCCCTTTCTTCTTACATCATGTCTCGCCACATCTCAAGCTTCTCTTCTCCTTCCTCTAGAGCTATGCCACTGCGTACTCACTCTCCTGAGTCAAAAGTCGCTATCAGCGAGTTGATCAATGCCAGTATGTAGCAGACTTTCTCACTTGATGGCTTTCCTCTAACTAGTCCTAGACGACCATCAAGGCACACCTTCCCCCACCATGTCTGATCATAGCAACGATGCCATCAACCTGATCAGTCAGGACATGAAATCTCTGGTCAAGAAGATCCAAGACCTTCGCCATATTGGAATCGAAGACAACAAGATTGCCCTACCCAAGATCTGTGTCATAGGTGATCAGAGCACCGGCAAGAGTTCTCTTATCGAGGGAATGTCTGAGATCAAGGTCCCTAGGAGTGCCGGCACTTGTACTCGTTGCCCTATGGAGATCAATCTTTCTCAAAATAACCGTGGCGAACCTTGGATCTGCCATGTGTATCTCTCACGCAAGTACATGTTTGACAGCTCCCACAAACTTGCGAGAATACCCAAGAAATGCAAGGGCCTTGGCCCTTGGATAGAGCAAGACCAGGAGGATGAGCTCTTCATCACACTGTATGAGAACGATGATGTCCAAGAGGCCATCAAGTGGGCTCAGATTGCCATCCTCAATCCTGGCCATGCTCCAAGTGACTACATGCCCGGCAGGAACGCAGATGCGACCATGGACTGTCAGGTGAAATTCTCTCCGAACGTGGTGCGGCTTGATATCTCTGCTCCTAATTTCCCCAATCTTTCGTTCTACGACCTCCCCGGCGTAATCAGTCAAGCCGAATTTGATGATGAGCGTTACTTGGTCGCCCTGGTCGAAAACCTTGTTCGGCAGTACATCTCCCAGGAGAACTGCATAGTCCTGCAGACATTGCCCATGACCGATGATGCCACCAATTCCAGCGCAGGACGAATCATGAGGGATGTGCGCGGAGCTATAGAGAGAACCTTGGGTGTCTTGACAAAGCCCGACCGAGTACAGACCTGTGAATCTTACAATCAATGGATAGAGATTCTGGAAGGGGACAAATTCTCGCTGGGACATGGGTACTTCGTCGTTCAGAACAACCCCGATCCTTCGGTGCCACATGCCCAAGCCCGCGAGGAAGAGGCCGCTTTTTTCTCATCAAGCCCGTGGTCCACAGAGCTTGCGCCGTACAGAGATCGGTTCGGTACTCGAAACCTCCAAACCGCGCTGTCTTCGCTCCTCCTCAAGCAGATCCAGAGATGTCTGCCGGGAGTCATCGACCAAATAAATGCGAAAGCAGAACGAATCGACGCCGAGCTCAAAACGCTTCCTGACCCTCCCAGCAACAACGTGCAGTATATCTTGTGCCGGAATATCAACCAGTTCAAAGAAATGATCACCGCACATCTTGATGGGGGCTCGTCAGAGTATCCTCTCCAGAAGCTGTGGGGCCACATGGCTTTAGATTTTCAGCGGGCTTTGATCAAGACCCGACCAACCGTTTCGTTGCGATCCAAATCTGATGAGCAATTGCTATCGCCCTTAATCGAGCGCGACGGAGATTCCGATTGCGAGATGACCGGGGTACAAACTGGTATGAAACGAAAGGCCCCTCCTAGCGACGCCCCCGCGCGCAGTGCACCTGTTACTCCCCGCGACAGAAGCGTAGAGCGTCCCTCAGGCTATTATTTCCCTGAGTTTGAGAAGTTCGAAAAGCCTGCACTGGTATTCAGTTGGGAGCAAATCCGCGACATCAACGAGGAATCCTACCGTGCCGGAATTCCCGACCAGGCGGACCCAAAGGCCATTGAGATCATGCGACAGCTGAGTGTGGCCCATTGGAGAGGACCTATGGATACGTTTATCCAAGCCACTCATAACCTTGTCAAAGAGATGATTACGGCGCAGCTGGGAAAGGTCTTTCATCAATACTTCCAGACTGGCCTGTACAAAGAGCTCAGACATATCATTGATGCCTTTCTCAAAGAGCTCAAGGAGGAGCACGAGCGCCATGCGGAGGAGAATTACAATATAGAGTACAACAAACCTTTCACCATGGCGACGGTGACTCTGGACAGAGCAATCAAGAGTGCGTTTGAAGAGATCAGTCGTCGTCGTTGGGACTTTCGCACTGGCTTTTATTTGAGCAAGCGGAATGTCGCACCCGACCATCCGCGGCGAGAGGTAGAGAGAAAAAAGCTGACGGCAGCGGAACTTGGACCCGATATGTTTGAGCAAGAGTTGAAGATGATGGCGGTATGTTTGGTCTACCTACGTTGCGAGGAAAAGGGCTAACCGATTGATTCTAGTCCACCAGGGGATATTACGATATCGCCAGCTCCCGATTCCTCGATTTCACCTGCCAGAGTGTCCATTCCAAATTGTTTTCCAAGTGCAGAGAAGAGCTTGTTCCCACCATCGAGGAGAGGCTAGGTATTCAGGACGAAAATGGTAAGTTGGCACAGCCCGCTTCCTGCCATGGTCTGCTAACCCGCAATCTTTTCTAGCGATGGAGCGTTGCATGGAGCTCATGGTCGAACACCCTGATCGCCAGCGCCGCCGCTATCATCTACAGAAAGAAAGAGAAAAGATTACTCGGGCACAGCAGTCGCTTGAGACTGCCCAAAAAGATGAGTCCGCTGATGAATTCGGCAGCCGTGTGAAGACGGAGCCTGTCAACGGATGGATGAATCGTGCTTCGTTTGTTTAGGTGAGATGGATCAGTATGTTGAGGTCTTTTGTGTGTTTTGTTGCAGACTGTCTGGATGTCTTTGGAAGTACGGGTTGAATTGGATGATTGGAAGATTGAAGCTGTCGAGACTGGAGAGAGAAGACCAGAGGAAGAGGACTGGCGGGGTAGAGAAACCCCACATCGCTGCCCTGAGCCCTAAGCCCTATTCTTCCCCAAACGGTCATGACATTACCTACTGGGAATGGTCCCGCTACGAGTATTGGCATTGCAGAGACGAGTCTGATAGAAAAGAATGATAGGATAAGATCCCCGGGATACTCCCTGCAACTTGATTCTCATATATTCCACCCCCGTAGGATTCAGTCGTACCAAGTCGTGAGTCATGGCGTGGGGACGGGCCAATGATGCGCTGCCCGCCGTGACTCCCGCCCAAAATTCTTGGGCTTTATTTCTGCCCCTCCGCCTCTCCCACCAATTCTCTCCTCCTCTTCCCCTCCATCTTCCCACTGGATATCATCAACCATGACGGAACCCAACGCTGTCAAGGAAGCCGAGGCCTCCATGGCCAACCTTCTCCTCGACGAAGTCACCGGCGAGAAGGTCTCCAAGACCGAGCTCAAGCGCCGTCAGAAGCAGCGCGAGAAGGATGCTAAGAAGAAGGAGAAGGAAGCTTCCGCTCCCCCCAAGGCCGAGAAGAAGGCTTCTGCTGAGGAGGAGGAGGCCAACCTGACCCCTAACGTATGTTTTCAAAGCTCCGTCGTTTTATTGTTCTTTCTTTCTTTCACGGTTCTGTGACTGCGGATGCTAATGGTTGATCGCTGTCTAGCAATACTTCGAAATCCGCAGCAAGCGCGTCAACAAGCTGCGCGAGAACAAGCAGCCCGACCCCTACCCCCACAAGTTCCACGTCAAGGACGATCTGCGCCAGTTCCTCAAGGACTACGAGGGTCTGGCCAAGGGTGAACAGAAGCCTGATGTCCCCGTTAGCATTGCCGGCCGTATCTACACCAAGCGTGCCTCGGGCACCAAGTTGATCTTCTACGATATCCGTGCCGAGGGTGTTAAGGTGCAGGTTGTCTGCCAGGCCCAGCACACCACCGGAGACATTTCTTTCGAGGATCAGCACGAGAACCTGCGACGAGGTGACATTGTCGGTATCACCGGTTTCCCCGGTCGCAGTGCCCCCAAGAACCGTCCCGATGGAGAGCTTTCCATCTTCGCCCGGGAGGTTGTGCTCCTGGCTCCCTGCTTGCACGCCATCCCCTCCGAGCACTTCGGTCTCCAGGACAAGGAGCAGCGTTTCCGCCAGCGCTACCTGGATCTGATCATGAACGACCGATCCCGCAGCGTCTTCGTCACCCGCTCCAAGATCGTCACCTACATCCGCAACTACTTCGACACCCGTGATTTCATTGAGGTCGAAACCCCCATGATGAACGCCATCGCCGGTGGTGCCACCGCCAAGCCCTTCGTCACACACCACAACGAGCACGACATGAACCTATTCATGCGTGTGGCCCCCGAGCTGTACCTCAAGATGCTCATCGTCGGTGGTCTGGAGCGTGTGTACGAGATGGGACGTCAGTTCCGTAACGAGGGCATTGACCTGACCCACAACCCCGAATTCACGACCTGCGAGATGTACTGGGCCTACGCCGATGTTTACGACGTCATGAACCTGACGGAAGAGCTGGTCTCTGGTCTCGTGAAGCACGTTACCGGTGGCTACGAGACGACGTTCCACACGCAGACCGGCGAGGAGTACCACGTCAACTGGAAGGCCCCCTGGCGGCGCGTGGAGATGATCCCGGCCCTCGAGGAGGCCACCGGCGAGAAGTTCCCGCCCGGTGACCAGCTGCACACCGCCGAGTCCGGCGAGTTCCTGAAGCGCGTCCTCAAGAAGACTGGCGTCGAGTGCTCGCCGCCCATGACCAACTCCCGTATGCTTGACAAGCTGGTGGGTGAGTTCATCGAGGAGACCTGCGTCAACCCCACTTTCATCACCGGCCACCCCCAGATGATGTCGCCTTTGGCCAAGTACCACCGCCAGCACGCCGGTCTCTGCGAGCGTTTCGAGGCCTTCGTCTGCAAGAAGGAGATTGTCAACGCCTACACCGAGTTGAACGACCCCTTCGACCAGCGTCTGCGATTCGAGGAGCAGGCCCGCCAGAAGGATCAGGGTGACGACGAGGCCCAGATCATCGACGAGAACTTCTGCACCAGTTTGGAATACGGCCTGCCCCCCACCGGTGGTTGGGGTATGGGTATCGACCGTCTGGTCATGTTCCTGACGGACAACTACAGCATCAAGGAGGTCCTTGCTTTCCCCTTCATGAAGGAGGACAAGACGGCGCAGGATACCAAGAGCGCTGCTGAGGTCGCTGGCGTTGAGCCTCAGCCCGAGGAGGGAATTCGTAAGTTTTCACCCACATTTATTTATCAAACATGACCAAACAGCGGCTAATCTTTTCTTCCACAGCCCACAAATAAATTTACTTTATGAATCAAGACGGCATTGCACATGGGATGATCGTATCTGGTTGATGACTTTTGGTTCTGCATGTTTTAAAAATTTACCAATGAAGGGATGCACTACGAACGAAAAAAGAGCATAATTATGAAGAGACGGTTTTATTGTGTAGTATGTGTGCACCAGTTGTTGTTGTTTCTACAGCAAGACAAGACGAGAAATAAAAAGTAGACATTCAATTCAGGACCGAATTGGAAGAGTAAGGTAGCACGGCTTGTTCTTGATAGCATCCATCTGTCGGATTCTGGTAGATACCTGAATGACCGACCGCCTTTGCATTCTATCCCCTCTATGCTAGGATACTCATTTAACGAGGCAATGAAACCAGAACTAAAGGGGTCGACTTCTCTTTATTTTAGGTACCAGAACACAACAAACGAATCATATAATTAAGTTACCTATCCTTCTGGATCAACCTCTGAACTTTCCTTGTGCCAAACCAGAATCCATCAACAAATAATATCTAGTATGCTTGGTGTTGGGAGACCAACGGAGAAAGGTATCTTTCCTCTTTTCCTCTCATTCTTTCTCTTCGTGTCTCTTAGTGAGTCTATCTAGATAAGTAGCCAAAAGATGTAAATCAAAGCACTCTACACAAGGGTCTGAATATGGCGTGGAAATGTTGCCATGATAATGTCTCAGTGTTATCTACGAATGCGCGCATTTCTTTCTTGAAAAAGAGTGGATCTGCGAAGGGAATTATTGCATAGGTCTATTGACTTCCTGTAGTATCAACAATGAGATTCTCACGGTGTCTAAGACTAAATACGTAGTGCCTCTTTCAACCCTGAATGAGAACAACAGAGACTGCGTGCACATGTCTCAGTAAGCGATATCGTTATCGATGTCAACGTCCTTTGTATTCTTGCACCACCAACAAGTAGCAAGGAGAAGGAGATCAATTTGCATGCCTACCTGCTTCATATTAATAACTTTCCAACACAAGTCACAAGATCATGAGTCATTTCTAAAGAAAGGAAGGTCACGAATCTACAGCGATCAGCAAAGAGACACCTAGTAAATGAAATGAGAGATCAACCCCATGAACGCATAGCACAACAATCGAACAACCTTCGCTGCCCAGGTCACTATGCCGCGTTCTTATCTAGCACTGGTACATAGACGCGAAGCAGAACATCTCATGCCGTGATGCGACCTTACTGTACAGACCTCACCAGGAACCATCTCAATCTTTGGACCTTAGATGCCTGGAACCCTCCGATACCGCGAAGATCAGTCTGGCTTATCTTTAATAATGCCATATCATATTTCTATTCACCTCTTCTAGTCGTGAGATTCACGGTGAGGTGTTCTCTGCGTGAAGTCTTGAATGACGGCGTAAAGGCGCGGGATCTTCTTCATTGCCTCTCGCCCTCTTCTTCTTCCTCACCTTCTCATTCCTTGTTTTCTTCTTCTTCTTCTTCTTCTTCTTGATTCCTGATCACGTCGTTCATCTTGTTGTGATCTTCACCTTTCTTCCTTCTTTATCTTCATTGTTGCATCTCGATATCCTTTTCTTTTGTTGCATGACATTGTTCCTGTCGCTTCCTTCGCTGTGTTTGGCTCTGACCTTCAAGAAGAACACCTACGACCGGCTGACTCTTTGAGTGACGCCCGGTTCTGATTCCTTCCTGTCGTATACAAACACGTCAAAGATTCTTCTGTTCGATCTGAGTTGACTGTGTCGCCCTCTCTTACATATCTCCCCTTCTGTCTCTGCCTGCCGTTTCCTCTGTTTCCAAGAAGGGATCATCCCGACAAGATGTCCCCCAAGAACGACAACACCGAATCCCCTCAGGAGGATCTGCCGACTGATGAAGCCTCCAGAAGACCCAGATATGTGCCTTATCCTCGTATGGCAGATCTGTTCTCCAGCGAGAGGGGCCTGTACCACGCCGTGCCTGCTCAGACAACCAGTTTGGTAAGTTCTCATCTGCTACCATACCCCATGCGAGAGATGCAGTTGTCGTCTCTCTTCCACCATCCCTTTAGAGCTAACAAGGCCAGCAGGAGAGTGCCAAAGTCGACATCCACACTCTTCCATTCAGAAGTGCACCCACCAGAGATGAAATACCAGTCATCATGGAACCACCCGTAAACACCGTGCCATCATACACTCGCGAATGCACTCCAGCCTTCAGCTTTACCTCTCGTGAGACCCTGCCCTCCTTGTCGCCTCGCACTCCTCCCGCTACTGCTCCCTTTGGTAGCCCAGAACCCAGCAGCGGACCGCCTCCGTACTGGCAACATATCGGTGAGCCCACCATGTTTTGCACTCCTATACGCGAGCTGAGCAGCCGCACCGGAGCGGGCCATCGTTCCACAGTGCCTCTGCCCTCCGTTCGAGACCTATTCAGCGCGGGTGCGTCCGAGAACGAGAGGAACGTGCTCCCTCCGATCTATATGAGCCCCAGCGTCTACTGTCATATGAGAGATGCTGACCCTGCGTCTGCCGTGGAATCCGAAATAGGCCCCCGCTTTCAGTCTGAGTGTAGGTCTAGGTCTAGGTCTGAGTCCCCGTCCCCTGAGTCTGGCAGAGGTCGTGCTCCGGAGACGATCCTTTCTGAGTCTGAGCGTGAGAAAACCCCCGAGGAGTTCGCGATCCCGGCACTTCCAGGTCCATCGCGTGCTGCTATCCGCCCGCAGCAGAAGGCCTCAGAGCTGTTGGGGCCGCAGGAGCAGGTTCCTGGTCCGTCGGCTGAGTTGACCGAATTCGTCGCCGTCGATGCGCACACAGCGAAATGCGATCTCTGCAACAAACGCAATGTCCAGGGAATGACTCGGTGCGTCGAATGTGGATGGCAGACGTGCAATGCGTGCACCGTCAAGAACAACAACTTCCGCAGTCACCGTGCCGGCGCTGTGATCCATGTCGGTCCGGTCGACAAGAAGAAGTTGCCAACTGCCGCGAGCGTCAAGAAGGGAAAACAAGCGGCGAAAAGAAAGCGAGAGGACCCCGACTACGTGCCGGAATCGGAAAGAGCAAGCAAGAAGAAGCGCGCGACTAAGTCTCAGGTTCGAATGACCGGCAGTACCTCCAACCCCTCTTCCTCCACCTCCTCCTCCTTCTCTTCCCCCGACGGAAGTCCTAACACAGCGGCTTTTGCAGGTCTAGGCGAAGATAAAACCATCATAAATGCAGCGCAGGCTTTATATGCGATGAGCAGGGAGGCTTTTGAGATGGAGATATGGGCTATGACAAGTAGGTTCCGCAAGCGATGGCAGTATCTATTGTGGGTCGAAGACGAAGACGGCGGGGATGACGAAACGGAGCCGTTGAGCATGGAAAATCTGGACGATCCAGGACCAAGCAGGCCCCTGGCAAGATACAAGCCAAGACTGCGTCGTAAAGTTCTTGAGATGGCGCGGGGTGAGCGCGAAGTTTACCTTCGAAGCCAGAGAATGGGGCAGGTCAATGCGGATGCTCTGGACTTGCACGAGAAAGGCAGGAGTGAATGTGAAAAGGACCTGGAGAGGTTCAATACCAGAGCTCAACTTTACGCCCGCAAACAATCCGGCCGTTGATCGCGTGATCTCCCTTGACCTTATGTTTCCTCTTTTCTTCTTGATTTCGTTGAATTTTTCTTTTTTCTTTTCTTTTTTTTTTGGCCTTCATGATGTTTTCCCCTTTTGTTGTTTTGACTTCCCCGTCTGTTTATTCCATTAATGTTTATTCCCCAGCATGTTTGTTCCTGTTGTTGTTCACTTCGAAAAATCCCAAATCCATGCCTCACAATGCCCACCTTGACTGGAGGTTACTTTTTTATTTCATGGACAGTGTTTTCTCAGTTTATTCTCCCTATGCGTGTTTTTCTCTTTACCTCGCACCCATCCTGTGGCGATGGTGTTGGCCTTGTTTTGTACATGGCGAATTGACGAATGGCTTACTCTCACTGAGACGTGTCGTTCATCCTCGACTGTCTGCAACCGGTACATTTCTGTGATTAAATTGAAAATGTTTCCTGTCGGTGAGATAGGTTAACTTACATATTAAAGACTGGCTCAATTGATCGATTCTTGCAAAATTTCTGTCAAGACAATCAGTAACACGAAGTGAAAATTACCTAGTGTATGTCAGCAAGGGATCAAAGCACAGATAGAATAGAATAGAAACGTATGACGGAAGATAGTCTATCAATATATAGCTCTATGAGGCAATACATGTCGATATATTGTACAATGTAGAAGTAGAGATTCCTATAACATACACCGGTCTTTCCAGTCATTTATAATCATAACACAGCGACGGAACAGACCCAACACCAAATTTCACTTCCACAGCTCACCAAACCCTTTTATACCCGACCAGGTCCATGCGCAGCCGCATTCGACAGGGTCTGACCACGAGCCTTGACCGCCATTTGAAGCAACTTAGCCGTCCGGGAGGGATGCCAGACGCGGCTTCCCAGGACAAGGACCCAGGTAAGGAGGAACAAGCTACCAGCTTGGTGGGCCGAAGCGAGAGGCGTAGGGACGAGGTAGAGCAGAGTCGAAATGCCGAGGCCAACCTGCATGAAAGCGAAACCGACGACGCCGTGGACGCCCTTCCTGGCAGCGGGAGGGAGAAGACGCTTCATGGCGGGGGTCTTGGAGTAGGCCCACAGAGCCATGATACTAGTGAATGTGGTCATGGCGAGGATCCGGTGGTCGAGCTGCACGAGAGAGGGGTTCTCGAGCATGTTCCGCCACCAGAGGTCCGATTTATCCTCGAGACGCGAATATCGCTGGTCGAAGAGTTCCGATTTGGGAGGTGCCAGGCCATTGCCCATGAAGGGGAATTCGTTGTAGATCAGACCGGCATCGAGACCGGCAACCAGGGCACCGGAGATGACGGTCGTGAAGACGAGAAGGGCGAGTCCGGCAACCGAGCGACGGAAGACCTTCAGTTTCGGGTCACGGAGCGAGTCGAGCAGCTTGGTACCGGCCTCGGGGTCGGCGAGAAGACGATGAGACCGCAGGATGGCAAGACCGTTCCACAGCATAGCGACGTAGCAAACAAAGGCAGCTCCCAGATGCGCCGTCAGACGGTACTGGCTCACTCGGGGGTGACTGCCAGGTGCGAAGAGGTCGTCCTTCAAGCCAGATTTAACCATCCACCATCCGAGGAACCCTTGGAATCCGATCAAGCCGGCAATTCCAGCCAGACGCAACGCGATAGGCTTGCTGACCTTTTTCCGAGCGATGAAGTAAACGGCGGGGAGCACAAACGAGAGACCGACGAACCGGCCCCATAGACGATGAATCCATTCCATGTAGTAGATCGATTTGAATTCCGAGAGGGTCATATGCGGGTTCAAGAGCTGAAATTCGGGGGAGTCGCGGTACTTTGCAAATTCCGATTCCCAGTCGTCTGCGTTCATGGGGGGGAGGGATCCGGTGACGGGGCGCCATTCTGTGATACTCAAGCTGTTATCGATCGCGAGTGAGTGTTCGTTCACGGTAGGTCAATTGCCGCGGAGAAGCCAGACGTACCCTGATTCCGTTAATCTCGTCAATCCACCAAACACCACGATACCGAAGACACTGGCCGCGCTGCCCAGCAGCCAGTAAGCCACGGACTTGTGGCTCACATCAGGAAATCGGGACCTAGACTTCGGAGTTCCGGTCTCAATTGCGCTCGCAGCTGCGGACCCGGAGGCGGATCTCTTCCACGTCGAGGGGAAAGCCTTCTTCGCCCTCGCATATACAGCGGCCGAGTTCACGTTGTTGGTGTTCTGGGTGAAGGAGAAAGCTCCGAACTGCCTGCGAAAGGCGGCGGGTTTGGCGGCATAATTCGGACTTTGTGTTAGGCATTGACGACAGGTGAAGAACTCCCTTGAAAATCGGGGAGCGAAGCTCCGGAAGAAGGGCACGGAGCCGCCCAGAGAGGCCATGATGCCGGTCAACACGCGAGGTGAATGGATGTCTCTGAGGGAGCAATACGGAGGAGCAGGAAAGGGAAAGGAGGAGGAATTCGTCGTTGCATGAGCGGTTCGGAAGGCCGAGACCTCCGAGGCGGAGCCAATGAGGGTGGCCTGATTTGATGCCTGCAGCGACGGTGGACGCGAGGAAATTGCACTCGCATGAGGCCCAGAAGGACACAGGGGAACTGGTGATGCCCTCAGTCCTCTCTCGTGTCAGTCACGGTCATTTCACGTGCTGGCAGGACCTCAAGTCCCCTTCGGGGAGCCCGTCAAGAGGATGCCTGAGGCAGTCCTAAGCAAAAGGATAGCTTCCTATCTAGGACTAGCGCCATCCGCGGAGATCCTCGGGCAATAAAGGCGATCACCAGCGCAACCATCACAACACTTCCACTCGTCGCAATTCCCCCTCGACCCTTCCGCTCCCTGCCCCACGGAACTATGTCCTATGCCGTGGAGACCAAGAAGCGCAAATTCCACCGAGTGCTGGAGTCATTGACGAAATCCTCCAACCCCGAGCCTCCGTCCAAACCGGCTCCCCAAACACCACCCCGGGAATCCACCACCTCCGCGGACCTGTCAGCAAAAAAAGCCCGGTTGACCGGCGGCCAGAATGGAACAGATCTCGCATCGGCACGGAAAACGATCTTGACGGTGGACCGACCTGGTTCTCGCGATTCGAACCCCCCCCGACCGACGTTTGTGCCCTGGGATCGCGAGCGGTTCCTCGAGCGGCTGGCGACGTTTCGGCGCGTGGATCGCTGGTCCCCGAAACCGCCGGCAATCAGCGAGGTGGAGTGGGCGAAACGAGGTTGGATCTGCTCCGATGTGTCCAGAGTGACCTGTGTGGGAGGATGCGGGGGCTCGGTTGTTGTCAAGCTGCCGGACGAGCTGGACGAGTTGGATGGATATGATGGTGAAAAAGTGGAAGAGAGGAGGGAAGTTCGTAAGTCACGGCTCATTTTTACGCGCCATGGATATCCAGAAGAGCGAGACTAATCAGATTCAAGGCGACCGACTCGTCAACGAGTATGTTGATCTCGTCGTTCAAGGACATGGCGAAACCTGCCCGTGGCGGAACAAGGGTTGCGATGGTTCGTTTTCATCCAGCGAATGTGCCTATAATCCTCCTGCTAACCAAAAAATAGCTACCATCCATCGCCTGCCCTTAGCAAACCCCGATACCGCCATATCCAACCTTCGCACCCGCTACTCACATCTCAGCAAAATGGCCACGCAGCTACCGGAATACGAAGTCCTGCAGACCCCCGAATCGTACAAATTAGAGGAAATCAGCAAGACACTATCAACTGCAGGCTTCAGCGACTCCGAAACAAACGCAGAGCCCACAGAGCCACAGACCCCCCGCAAACAAACCGCAGGTGCCGAAAGTCCTAAAAAGACCGAAGACTCAACCCAGAAGGAACCGACCATCAACCGCACGGCGTTTGTCCTGGCCTCGTTCGGCTGGGACAGCGTCTCCGATGGAGCAGCTGGACTGGCCGAATGCAGCGCATGCTTCCGACGATTGGGACTGTGGATGTACAAACCGAAACAAAACGGCGATAGCGCCATCTACGACGCCTTGGACGCGGCTAACGAACACATGGAATACTGTCCCTGGATTAACGGAAGAGCACAAAGCGGTACAGGCAAGACCTCGCAGAAATCAGACGAGTTGCACAGCGGATGGCAGATCTTGGTGCAAGCGCTGAAGGTGAAGCATCGTCGTCGGGTCCGCTCCATTGCTTCCGTGGCTAGTTTTGCGGTCTCGGAATCGCCCTCGACGGATGATCCCGTGGTCGATGACGCCAATGTCGAAGCTAAGAAGGTATCGGATCGGGAATGGTGGACTAAACTTCGGAAAATGAGGCAGGTCTTGAATGTCAAGTCGCCGAAGAGGAAGTCGACTACAGAATGATCAGGTGAATGGGATTGTTTTTGAGCTTGGTTTTAATGATGGCAGCGAGGCGTTTAGGGCATTGTCTTGCGTGTTCTTTTCTCGTTTTCAAGTCTAGGACTTCTTATCACCTACGTTTACATATAATGGTAGAATATTTACATATATTATACTATACATCTTTCTCACGGTATTATCCGCTAGCAGTGAACCTAGGAGAGCAGAAGACAACCGTGAACTAAAATCAGATGCCATATAATCGTATGATCCCATTAAGTGCTCTTACTGGTCCCAATGCTAACTATCTCATACCCAATCAGATCAAAAGAAATGCCACCAACATTGCACTACTCGCCCTTCTGCAGGGGATCTAGCAGTCGACCGAGAAGCAGCGTACGCTCTAGGCCATAGAGCATCCAGAAAAGTGCCAACAGAAACCCAAACACAAGAAACCACTGGAAATCAGACAAGCTAGCTCTCCGAATACTGTACTTTTCCCATCCCGGCCCCGATCTTTCCGGTACGGGGAGGAATTCAATCACGTCCGCATCTGCCAGGACTTTTGAAGTCATATCCGCTAGCACATCTTTCATATATGGGATATAATACCGACCGATGAGGGAATTCAGAAATCCATCACGTCCATGAACTCGGACAACATGCCATGATACGTTGTAGACTCTCTTCACCCGATGATACCGCTTCTCCTTGTACCTTTGAAGGGTGCGCCCGATGTCAATGTCCGACGGCGGGCCGGGTGGTGTGGAATGAACGAGCTGTTGGAGAACGGAGGCTAGGCATGCGGCATCCTCAATAGCCATATTTGCTCCTTGTCCGGCATTGATTGTCATCTATATCGTAGCGGTTGATATTAGCCGAGTATAAAGAGAGAGATAAAATGCCTTAGAGTACGGCAAGTGTTAGTCAAGCCGGCTAGTCACCTTATGGATACTGTCACCGATTAGCACCATTCGATCATAATGCCATGTCTCAAAGAAGGCCTCTTCAAGAAAGGTCATTGAAAAGGCCTCTCGGTTTTGCCAGACATCTCGAACGCAAACACCGTTCCGGATATGCACGGTCCCAATCCGGCTGCAGAATTCCGCTGCATCGTCTCTTGAAAGCCGGGCCATATCTGCGTAGGGATACTTTCGATCAAGCTTTTTGACAAAGAACCAGAACAATCGACCGTTCTTGCCGTGGATTGTGGCAATGGTGAGTCCGTCAAAGAAGGCGTTGACTTGCTCCCCGGCGTGAAGGCCAGGAATTGGGGATGACATGCCGAAAACACATACGAACTCTGCTGTCATACCTAAAGTTTTGTTAGTCAAGAATGATCGAGGGTCTCTGACATATGAACGTGGACAGACTTGACTTCTCTTTTGCTGTTATCAGTCCAGGCTCTTGCTCTGCTAGCTTCCAAATCTCCGAGCGGACTCGACTGTGGACTCCATCGGCGCCCACAATCAGGTCTCCCCTATAGACTGACCCGTCGTCTGTTAGCACGCAAGGGCCATCCTTCAGACGGCGGATCTCTGTGACCCTTTTGCCGGTAAGTATTCTGGAACTATCGGGATATGTTTTGTACAGAATCTCTAGGAGCTTTTGACGAGAGAGAAAAGAGATGGGGTAACCGAATCTATATTAAGGAAATAGTCAACATTACATTTGGAGGTGGCCAGCCCAAACATTGGCTGATTGTTCGGCAGATTGTAACACACCTTTTTGTTAAGTCATTGGGATAGCTGGTGTTGTAGTAAAAGCCATCGGGGTAAGTCGCATGGACAAGTCCCACAGGCTCAATCAACCGCTCTACATCTTCATAGATTCCGAGCTGCTGAAGGACCCGCGCTCCGTTGGGAAAGATGGCGACAGACGCTCCTAACTGCGGAGCAATATTTTGCCCCTTTTCGAGCACAATGTGGTCGATATTGGCCCGTTGTAAACAATGTGCCAAAGTTAAACCTGCAATCGACCCGCCGACAATGACAACTTGAAACTTGGGTTGATTCATGGCTCCGAGATGCTTGGAAAGACTATGGTATGGATTATATGAAGCTTGTGTCCTAACATTTGGTAAAATCACTATGCCAGCCAAAGCCGACAGGCCACCCAGTGCTACATTTGAGGAATTGCACCAGGACGAACGTCCCATGTACTACCCCTCTAAAGGGGAATTAAATTGGCGCCGTGAGTGATGTATTACCCATGTACCACATTAGCGCTAACGATGGGCCCAATTGATTGCGTGCAACGCGGAAAACCGCGTTCAAGTCCGAAAGAATTTCTCCGATGGAGATAAGTAGCGCTCGGGCTAATGGTGATGACAGCCAGCATGCATGAGTTCAATAAGACTGTCGAATGAGAGGCTCTCTCTGGCTAACATAGCTCAAGGCGAGCTCCAAAGATGGTGGAGCCATTGTGCCAGCGTACAGGGGTCGGATAAGGGCCTTGTTAGGAGTATGCAATAAGCACAACGGATGTATGTGGTGATGGGGCCGAACTGTTGGTCAATACCCTAGACGAGGACCAATTGTAGCGGCCAAGCATCGTGACAGCCCATGGCCTGCCTTGGCGGTTTCGTTGGTCGCCGAAATGGCCAGAACCCCACTAGAGATGGGGCTTGGCCTAGGAGACGGTTGGTATCCGCTCGAAGTTGCGCGGATCTTCGAGAGCCGAATATAGACCACTCTTGGCCATATGCGTAAGAGTGTTCCCGTAGCGGCTGATGGCACAGCTTGACTCCTGGAGTCAGTGTGAACAGGCCGACATCTGCTCTCTTTTCAAATCGATGAGGGAGGCCATGATGCTAGAGTGATTCTGTTTGGTCCAATGTCTCATCAGCTCGGATGGAAGATATTTATATCTGTATCCCTATCACTGCGGGGGACGGAGTGGTGTTCACTTGATATCCTATACTCACCATCATTGCTTTGACAGCGCTCGTCCCACATCAAACAATTGAGTGTACTCGTCGAGAGTCCGGTAGGCTTCCACGGTGATACTAACTCCACCGAGTCGATTCAGCAGGTCCTTCCGAAATTGAGAATGCTGGTAATGAAGACGCTGTTCTAGGCCTTCTCTGTCATCTCATTCCTACCCCCTTTCCCACCCCTTATCAATGGTTGTGACATGTCTGTGCAAGCTCCCAGACCGGCAGCATACCGGGACTCTAGTTTCAGACGACAAGCAAGGACGTATATTTCAAACAGTGTAACTTCGACATGGTGTCACCAATCAGTCATCCGCAAAACAGAAGAGGTTTTCTGATTTGATGCACATCGTTGGGTTACGGGTAGGGTATATATTGAGTAAACCGCCGTCATGAACGGGATATTCTCTCACGACCCCCATACCATTCCGGTGAAATAAGCAAGATGGAGTCTCACAATGCAACACCTGTGCCTCTCCCTTGGTTGGCCACCATTGGGATGGTCCCCTTGTTCTTCCTCGTTCTCATGGACAGATTGCCCCCGATCTGGCCAACATCCAAGATGGCCTCAATGATCGGACAGAAACAACCAGAGAATGTCACCGCGATTGAATGTCCATATACTTACATTCGGCAGATTTATGGCAAACACCACTGGGCCCCGTTCGTGAATAAACTTTCGCCGTGCCTGAAGAATGACGACCCGGAAAAATATCGAATGGTGCTGGAGATCATGGATGCGATCCACTTGTGTTTAATTCTGGTTGACGATGTAAGAGGCTCTTTCCCTTCTGAGAACTTGGAAACCCCTGTCTTTCTTTCTTTTCATGCCTGGGCACTCCTGGTATATATTGAGGCCAATGATCCTAATTATTCGAACAGATTTCGGACAATAGTGACTACCGGAAAGGCAAGCCGGCAGCCCACAAGATTTATGGCCCGTCCGAGACTGCAAATCGTGCCTATTACCGCGTGACCCAGATCCTGAACGAGACAGTCCAGAGGTTTCCGAGATTGGCGCCATTTTTGATGCAAAACCTGGAGGAGATACTCCAGGGTCAGGATATCTCTTTGGTCTGGAGACGAGACGGCTTGAGTAGTCTACCGACGCAAGCCGACGAACGAGCCGCTGCCTATCGAAAGATGGCCTCGCTAAAAACCGGCGCTTTGTTCCGACTCCTTGGACAAATAGTTCTGGAGAACAAGTCTGCGGACAAGACATTGACCACTGTTGCGTATGTATCTCCCGCATCACCCGCCAAGTACCGTATGTTACTTTCATAAAGTTGAGAAACAAGCTGAAAATTGGCTCAGGTGGTGCTCTCAGCTGCAGAATGATTGCAAAAACGTCTATTCATCAGACTACGCCAGGTCAAAGGGGTCTCTTGCTGAAGATCTGAGAAACAGGGAGCTGTCCTACCCGATCATCCTGGCTCTAGAGGCCCAAGGGGGTGACCGGGTAGCCAAAGCATTGGAATCGGGTTCTCCACGCAACATCCGAAAGGCGTTGCGAGTAATCCAGAGCGAAGGTGTACGAGACGCATGCCTCGAAGAGCTGAAAACATGCGGGGCGTCGGTGCAGGATTGGCTTTCAGTTTGGGGAAGGGATGAAAGGATGAATCTGAAAAGCTAAGGAGCTTGGGAGATGTGGCACTTTCTAGTTCTGCTAGGCTCTGACCGCCAGCTCAGAGATAATTGGACTCTTTTATAGACCGGGGTTAGTTGACTTAGATGATAAAAAAGACGATTGAAGATGGCATATAGCCGTGTTGGATGGATGTCTGTTTGGGGAAAGAGCAGGTGACCTTCAACTGCCCAAAATGGAAGGTTGTGAAACTGCCTGACTAAGGCGTGGATAACCTGTTCATTGACTCCGAATGCACTTTCCTTGCACTTTCCACTCTCCTACTGGTGTTGCACGACGAAAATATCTACTCTCTATACCATCTGAGCGCTACTTTGTCAAACATGGAGTTCAGAGCTGCTAAATAGTGGCGTCTCCTCCAAGACCTCCAAGACTTCCAAGGCATTTCCGCGCAAGTTGTAACCCCGACCGGGGCCCAATCCCATTTAGGGGAATGCAACGTCCCAGGTTTGACGTTGTACAAGTGTAGAGATAATATTGGCTGTGTAACAACCGACGGTTCAGCCGGCGAGCGGCCGTAGCGAAATGGCTTTATCTGCGACATTGCCAATACCAGGAGACGTTGCGTCTCCCTTGTGTCTCCCCAGTACACAAGGCCCTAGCAAATCGGAGGGTTGAAACCAAATACTCGCTGGGGGGAAATACGCAGTCCTGGAACAGAAACCTTCGCACACTTTGATTGACAGAGATTGTTTGTAGGCCTCTGGCCGCTTTTACGTCGACTACATAAAGTTGATCTCAGCACCTCATTGCGTTCAATAAAAGTCGCTTCGAGGACGGATCAAGTATAATGAGATGCTTAGGTTGCTTTTTCGAAATCAAGGAAAGCCTGCAGACAATTCTAGGGTTTAACCGAATGCGTTGATTCCTACTCATGCCTAGATGCACAAAAATAGGATCGGAATAACTAGTTATTCATGGCAAAGAGACTCAGCATTAACGCGGCCTGCTAGTTATTATTGGAGACGCTGTATCTCAGCCACTTTTCCTAGAGACATGCCGATGGCAAATGAGAGGAATCTAGCCCAGGTCACTCCTGCAGGAATTAGATCATTTGGGTGACGATCTGCATTCTGCACAGAGAGATAAGCTAATCGAAAAAAGCCACAGATCTGGAATATTGCGAACAAGACGCCGTGAAATTGCGTTTGATTACGTTTTATCTTATCTCCCTACTCATGTGTCATTCTGCGTTCTAGAGGGGACCAGTTCATGCAGTTCCACAAAACGGCTTGTGAGACCAAGAAACAATGAAAAGACACTAAAAAAGTCCATCTTGGCCACTCTGACAGGGAAGATTCTTCAGGACCATCTCTTGATAGACAGAAAGAAACAGCCAATCTCACACTATAACATGATGCTGACCACACCGATCCGTATATCGCTGAAATCATAGCTTAGTATCGCCACCCTTTTGGATCTCACCACCTTGCGTACACAGTGTACACACTGAAACTATCGAGCAACTTATGGAGTAGTAAATCATCCCAGTCATGGTCAAAATCAGAGGTGATAATGGCTGCGTGTTAAGCCACATTGGTTGATCAATCAATTCACCAAGCATTCGACACCCTGGCCACGCCTGCAGAACAGACCCAAACGAGAGCCCCTCTTGCCAAGCGAGACGACGCCCATAACAGAGACATCCGCAGCAGCAGCAGCGGGGACATGAATGGGAAACCTGACCGAATCCATGTAGGTACGATGCATCATGGAACCAATCCGGCGACGAGGCATCGATCGCTCCCTGCCGGGGCTACCTACTGCAGGCTGATCCTGGGAAGGTGGGGCCATCTGTGCTGGAGAATCAGTAGTTCGAGGTCGATACTACAGTACATTGAGCTTCCCGGAGTACTGAGTGACCTGCTGCAAGACCGTTGGTTTGCCTCGTACGGAGCGAATGCCATTGCATATGCGCTGGTTTGTGTGGTGACCTGTCGCTGACCAGGCTAGTCTTGCCTCTTTCAGACTGTCGGAGAAAGCTGAGCTGGGTTGACAGCACGAGGATCCGAGCTGGCATTTTACTTATTTAGGAGACACATGCCGCGATCCTAATCTCGGTGCATCTTCTCTTCAACATTGTTTGCTTCGTCTCGCCCTCAGAATGAACTCGGGGAAGTTGTACCTGATATCAAGTAGCCTAGGGGTTCTGTCCCATCTCACCATCTTCATCAAGGGTGAGTGGGATACGCATGCCCCCGATCTGGTCCGTTATTTTGTTTTCTGGCCGGTGGTAGTGTTCTCGCTTCTGGCGATTCTTGGGTATGGGTATGCAGTACGGACATTGGCTCTCGCGATGCTGAGCTATGACGGCGGGATCTGGCTATCAATGATCGTATATCGTTGGTTTTACCATCCTCTGAGACACTTTCCAGGACCTGCCTTGGCTCGAGTCAGCGCACTCTGGTCCCTGGGACGAGTAGCAAGAGATGCAAAATGGCATATCAATGTGCAAGAGCTTCATCAGCAGTACGGAAACTTTGTTCGAATCAGTATGTCTCCCTTTACGGGCCAGGTCTCTCACTGATAGCTGATTCCTCCAGAACCTAGAGAGATCTCGATTAACGATGCGTCCGCAATAAAGTTGATCTATGGCGTTGGTACGAGCTGCACCAAGGGGGTTTTCTATGACTTGTACTACCCGCACCGCTCGCTGCAGATGTGTCGGGACAAGGCGTTCCATTCTAGACGACGAAGAGTTTGGGACCAGGGATTCAATTCTCGAGGTATTTCAAACCAGCGTCGTTACAAAAAACGTCGAGCATACATGCTAATGAACTGGGTGCATTAGCTTTGACCGGTTACGAACCTTTCATCCGCGAGCATTGCGACGATCTGATTGAGCGGATATCGTCCCAGATGGAAGAGCCACTGTTGATCAACGATGTTCTCGATGGGTTCGCCTGGGACTCCATGGGAATATTGGCTTTCGGCAAATCATTTGGCATGGTGAAGGGTAACAGTCATCCGATGTTGGACACGATCAGAGCCGTGAAAAAGTCTGGTGCTTTTATCTTAACGGCGACTTGGATGCTTATTATGGCGCAAAACCTACCCATGATCCGCAAAGCATCGGCCAAGTGGCTAGATTGGTGTGCCGAAATGCTAGAAGAGCGGCGAAAGGTATGTCCAGGGATTCTTCTGGAAGCGAGTTGTTTGGCTGTTGACCCAAAGTGCTAGATGGGCGTATCCAGGAAGGACCTCTTCAGTTACCTTATTGCGGAACCGCCCCCCGGGACCGATGATTCTTTGAAACTAACGGATGGTGACCTTGTAATCGAGTCGGAGCTTGCGATCGGGGCCGGAAGCCAAACCACAGCTTCGACTATGAACGCACTCCTCTTCCTCCTAGCAAAGCATCCGGAGACGTACCGCAAATTGCAAGAAGAGGTCGACTCGGTTTTGCCACCGGATGCGCCTTTGTGCGATTCGGCACTCACAGGCCAACCGTACTTAGAGGGCTGTATCAACGAGGTCATGCGTCTGTATCCAGCAGTGACGAGTGGTGTGCCTCGAGAAACCGGTCCGGGGGGTATGACTATCGATAGCGTTTTCATTCCGGCATACACAACGGTGTCCGTGCCGACGTACACGGTCCAGCGAGGTCAGAGCCCTCTGAACAAACATCATTTTCGATGTTTCCTGGCATGGAAGCTGACATTGAGTAAATGGCCTTGACAGACCCTCGAAACTACCAGCACCCCGACGAGTTCATCCCCGAGCGTTGGATCGACAAGCCGGAGCTGATTATCAAGAAAGAGGCCTTCATTCCATTTTCCACCGGCCCATATTCTTGCGCGGGAAAGAGCTTTGCGATGATGCAGATCCGACTGGTGATTGCGACCATCGTGCGGAATTTCGAGTTCCGATTGCCCCCAGAGCAGGAGAAGGAAACTCTGGATACGCTCAATAGGACCGGCGTACAAGATTGTTTCACAATGGTGGTTCCATCGTATGATCTGATCTTCACGAAGCGAGATTAAAGCTCGAACTCAGTATAGGCGACGATGTTATCGAGAGATAATGAGATGTGTTCAACGAAAAGAGAGTTCCTTGTCCTCCTGGGGTGCGGAGTTATACACCGGTTTAGTCGTTCAGGATTGTCACCGGTACGTAGATAGTGTTGTGTAACGGCCGAGAGCAAGTGAGCCCCAACCTCCTCGAGTCGAGTGCGCCGTCGTTCCTTTGTCGTAGCGTTAAACACACAATATACCGGATGAGGTCGATCGTCGACCGGATGCGGTCAACGAAAACATGGTTGACGCTAGGCTTAACCAAGGAATCCAGCACAAAGGGAGGCAGTCATTAGAAGAAACTCTCGTCTTCATTATTTAACCTGATTCCTGCTTCACTTTCCCACCCCTCGAGTACGGATAATGGGCTGTGAGCAGCAACTGCAAGATGTACGATCCAGCACGGGACTCGTGGGAGGCTCACCGCGTCCCCGACAAGCCCGCGGTATGTTTTCTCCGTTTCTTCAGCTCTCGCCCTCCCTCGTTCTCTTCCTTCTCTCTTCCTAGCCCTCGATAGAGCGACCTTGGGGATTTTGGCCTTCCTCGTCGCTTGCTTTTTCTTCTTGTGTTTCCCATTGAAAATCTAGACTAACTAATCAATTCAAGTCACAGCCACCTGACTATTCGCACTCAGCTACGCAACCTGTGACGCAAGAACAATCTTCATCTACGACCTCTCAGACCCATCCACCTGCGCAACGCCCCCCAGAAACAGACCGGTCCTCGAAAAAGGAATCAACCAGAGACGAGACGCCTTCATCTCATCCCAAATCCAAAATGACCGATCTCCCCTCCGCTTCGCCCGAGCGATCGGCCGCCTCTCCTCAAGCCGAGAATGACTCCTCCCCAGCCGACAAAAAGCGAAAGTTGACCGACGAGGAACCGAAGCCCGCCGGGGTGGCCGATCGACCGATCTCGAAACGCAAGCGCATGGAAGAGCGACACCAGAAACTGCGCAAACGCGGCCGAACCCCCCCGTCGGCGTATGCTCGCCGAGACGCGGAAGAGGCTTCCAGGGCGGCGCCGGCTCGAAATGATCGATCCGTCTCGCCGCTGGCGCCTCGTCGATCCCCGACGCCGGAAGAGCAGCCTCGTCAGCGGAAGCGCCCCGGTGGTGGTGCCCGCATGGGACTGGTGGATCGGGAAACTCTCCGTCGGAGACAGGAAGACCGGGAACGGGCGCAGGAGGAGGATGCCGTGCGGACTTCGCAGACGCGGGGCCTCACCGACATCGTCCGACAGCACTACAACGCGGTGCCGCAGCGGGGTCGCGAGTGGCGAAAGACCGAGAGTAAGATCAAGGGACTGCGGACGTTCAACAACTGGATCAAGAGCACGCTCATCCAGAAGTTCTCGCCCGATGAGGAGTTCGTGGCCCGGTCCATCGGCACCAAGGACTGGGCGGAGGAGACGGCGCCACCGCCCGTGGAGGAACGACGGCTCCTGGTGCTGGACCTGGGCTGCGGCAAGGGCGGCGATCTGGGCAAGTGGCAGCTCGCGCCGCAGACGGTCGATCTGTATGTTGGCCTGGATCCCGCCGAGATCTCGACGGTGCAGGCGCGCGAGCGGTACAACCAAATGCGATCGGGGCGCGGCTCGCGCGGCCCCCGTCGCGGCCCCCTCTTCCACGCCGAGTTCGTTCCCAAGGACTGCTTCGGCGAGTGGCTGGGTGACATTCCGATCGTGCAACAGGTCGGGATCGACCCTAATGCCGGACCGGGCGGATCAGCCATGGCCGCGCGCTGGAGCGGCGGGGGTGGGTTCGACGTGGTGGCGTCCATGTTCGCCATCCACTACGCGTTTGAAAGCGAGGAAAAAGCGAGACAGATGCTGCGGAACGTGGCCGGGTCCTTGAGAAAGGGTGGTCGGTTCATCGGCGTGTGCCCGAACTCGGATATCATCAGCGCCGAGGTGGCCGCGTTCAACGCGAAGAAGAAAGAGCGTGAGGCCACCAGCAAGAAAGAGCAGGCTGAGCCGGAGGACGGCGAAGTCGAGGAGGAGGCGAAGGTGGAATGGGGCAATTCGATCTACCGCGTGCGATTCCCCGGCGAGACCCCGGAGGATGGCATTTTCCGACCTCCTTTCGGATGGAGATACAGCTATTTCATGCAGGAAGCGGTGGAGGAGATTCCTGAATATGTGGTTCCTTGGGAAGCATTCCGAGCGTACGTATCCTGTCTGCCTTTTCCTTTGTTGTCGAGGCTCATGAACTGACTTGACCAGACTGACGGAGGATTACAACCTGGAACTTCAATATCGCAAACCGTTCATGGAAGTCTGGCGTGACGAGAAGGACGACGCGGAGCTGGGACCTCTCAGCGAGCGCATGGGAGTTCGCGACCGCAACACGGGAGAGCTTCTCATGACGGAGGAAGAGAAGGAAGCAGCTAGTAAGTTGAGCCGTTGAACACATGGGATGAAGCAGCTAACAGGAGCAATAGGTTTCTATCACGCATTTTGCTTTTATAAGGTGTGATGGTGGGGTGTATTTGGCTGCATGATTTCAATTTTTCCTGCTGTTCTTTCATACTTTTCTGATGTATTATTGATTCTTGCTTCTCTGGGGCTTCATGTAGACTATTTAGGGAATTTCATTCTATTTTGTGACGGTTTTGCTGAGCTGTGTGTAAGAAGGTGGTCATGGCTATGCTTTGTCTGGGACAAGCCGAACTCAGATGATATGGCGCTCTCCTGAACTATAGTTATGAATTAGAGACTGTCTAGTCAGGTCTAATCCTAGGTATAGTAAAGCTAGATATTAAATGTAGGAAGTGAGTAAACTACTCGCCTTTCGGGGCGTTAGTTGACTATGTACCCACCTACCCACCGAGGGAGCCTAAGTTAGCGCGATTGATCCCAACTTCTTCCTTCCTCGTCTTCAATCAACCTCAATTCACCTGAATGAACTCCTCCTTGACCTCTTTACTTCTTATTTAATGTTTCCAATATCTTACTCTCTTTGAAATCATTTTCTTGAACAATCAATCCCCGTCAAATCATAGGCTAGCCTAGAACTACCTAGAGGCACCGAACCAACGGGTTCCACGCCAAAGAAACGCGAAAAGTCGCGAAACAAAGAACGCCTCGCCGCACTCACCCACCGACCGACTCTCACGCATCATCCAACCATCCATCTTCTTACACGAACCTCATCTTAAACCTCAACCTCAACCTCGACTCTCCCAAACCAAGAACAAAAAACAAAAATCCTAGAAAAATGTCAACCCCACGCAGTACCCCCCGAGACCGCGAACGACATCATCACCGCGAACGAAGCGACAACACCCCCGGCCAGCATCGCGACCGCGACCGTCAGAACCGCTCTCGCACACAAACCGAACCAACCCTGCCCCCCTACGAACCCTCCCTCGCACCGCTCACAACAACAGGCCACAACGCGGTCCTCGCGCTCCTGAAATCCCAAACCCTGCGACATCTGAAAACGCATCTGCAGCACGCCGGTTTCAAGTTGACTGATTCCGCCGGGGAGGTGAATGAACGTGTTACGGATGCAAAGGGGAGGTATGAGAAGCAGAAGGAGAGGGGGGCGAGGTTGAGAGCTGCTCGTGCGGGCCAGGGTGAGGGTCAAAATGGGGAGGGGGGAGAAAATGGGGAAGGTGACGGTGAGGAGGAGGGGGAGGGGGAAGGGGATGAGGAAGAAAGAAATCGATTGACGAGTCTGGAGGAGAGGGTTGCTGGGATTACGGGACGGTTGGAGCAGCAGGTACGGAAGATGGTGGATTCCGAATCGAGGGTGGATGCGCTGGTCGAGGTCATGGGGGGATTTGAGAAGGAGGCGGATGAGGCGAGTGTTGCTCGTCCTAGGAGGGGGAGGCAGACGAGGAGAACGAGAAGGACTAGACGGGATGGGGATGAGGAAGGGGAAGACGAGGAAGAAGATGAGGATTATGAGGCGACGTCGGAGCGAGAAGAAGACGATGCTGAAGCTGTGGATGTTGCACCTCCTAGTCGACGACTCGAAGACAGTCTGAAGGAGAACCATGCGCAGTGGGATCGACTATCATTTACCCAGCGGTATGATCTCTCATCCCATGCCCCAATCAACTTCAAGTCCAGGACAAGAACTGACCACAGACCAGCTACTCCGCCAACAACACCTACGTCGGCTTCTACCGCATCGTACACGAAGCCAAACACCCCGGCAACGACATTCCCCCAATCCCTCACGCCTCGACATGGTTCTCTCATCTCGAAGACCCCAACGCCGCTGCCTCATCCTCATCCTCCCCCTCCACCAACCCAACCACCACAACTACTCGCCAACAACGCCAGCGCCAGCAGCACCAGCGCAGCCCGTCCCCCGCCTCCGGCGAAGACGACGACATCGCGATCGAAAGCGAACGGATATCCCTAAAATGCCCCCTCACACTGCTCACCTTCCAAGACCCGGTCACGAGCACAAAATGCCCCCACAGCTTCGAACACGACGCCATCCACGACATGATCTCCCAGTCGCCGACGACCGTGCCCGCGCCCCCTCCGGCGCCTGGAACCGCTCCATCCCGCGCGGCGCGGCGCGTCCGCTCCGTGAAATGTCCCGTCTGTTCTGTGGTTCTGACGGGGCAGGATCTGCGACGGGATCCGGTTCTGCTGAGACGGGTGAAACGTGCGGAGGCGCGCGAGCGGGAACGAGAAGATGAGGATGAGGATGAACCTGGAGCTTCGGCTGGGAGGAAACGGGCGAGGATTCCGGTGGCGAGTGATGATGATGAGAACGACAATGAGGATGAAGAAGAGGATGAAGACGAAGACGAAGACGATGAAGATGACGAGGGTCCTCAGCAGAGGAAGAGGAGAAGACAAGAACAGGTGCGGATTAAACAGGAGCGGGCGATGTCGAGTAGTGCGCCGATGGTGGTTGATTAATTGCTTTCAATCCATCCGTATTTGGCAATTGACTCTTGTTTCTTCTACTTTCGGGCTCTTGAGATATCTTGTTTTTGTTTGCCTATGTTTAGTTTCGTTGTCTTGCATATGATTTAGGATACCTATGAGATTCAAACCTAGGTTAAATATACCTACCTCTACTGTTTACGATGAGCATAGCATACCTAATCAAGTCTCATCACAGAGATGTCTACTCTGCCAGAACAGAAAGAACTCACGCATTATTAACGCCAGACTCTGACCTACCTACCTACTACCCAGTACCCTCGAAAGGGCTCGTATCGGGTATCACAGGCTCATAAAGGAAAAGGAAGTAAATACACGAAACAAACAACCCAGACAGACAGTCAAGGAGCGACCAGAGAGAAAAGAAGAACAGGAAAAAGAAATAGACGCTGCTCCGGGTATGAAATGAAAAGGAGACCCCACACGCGAAAACACATACTTGATTGACGCACAGAAGAGGCGAACAGAATGAGAACAGAAGCATTGACATTGGTCAGGCCAGCCGAAAGGAATATCAAAGACTTGCATGCGAATCAGACACAGACAAAGGAAAAAGAAAGTGAAAAAGGGTATCCGTCCGCCTGTCAACAGCGAAAGAGATGGGGCGAGTTTTGGGATGATTGCAGCCGGAGAATGCGCCTGTCAGCGAGACGCACATGGGATGAGGGTGGAGATCACGGCTGCTCATGCTGAATAGATCAGGCGGGGACATTTCTAATCGACGGTGCAAATGAATCAATCTACACACTTAAACAGAAAGACGTTTCTGCCGGTCGCATCGCCCACCCAAAATCATAGCGCTGGGAAACGAATCGAGACGACGCGTCGAAAAAGAAAGATCGCAATCCATCTAGTTGGTGATGAGGTTGAGATAATCGGCGACGATAAGCGTAACCATGCTAAAGTGGATCCCCCGTGGGGTTAGTGTTAGTGACAAGCCGCCCAGAAACCAAGAGTGGGGAGACTAACGCATGGGGGGCGATCCGCACGTAGTACGTGCCGAAGCCACGATAGAACCGCAACCATCCCTCCTCCTTGACCACCTTGCGAGCACAGTCGAAGAGACCCTTGTACGGCACCTGGCCAGTCTTAGGGTCCTTCTGCTGCTTCTGCAGACGCGTCTTGATGAAGTCGAAGGGCAGCGAGAGGAAACTGGCGAAGAAACCGGCAATGGCGGAGGCAGCGAACGTCTGGTTCTGCGCAGAAAGGCTGGTGCGCGCCTTCAGCTGAGTTTTCGATTCCGCAAAGAAGGTCAGCTGGCCCACGTTGAGAGCCATGGCGCGCACCACGGTGGGGAACGCGCCCGACCACAAAGCCAGGACGCCTTCGCTTTTCGAGATGCGCAGCAGCGCGTCCACAACGGAGCGATAGTTGGCGCGGGCCTCGGGCGGTTTGAGACCATCCGACTGCATACGTACCAGAGCCAGGTCTGCGGGGTTTCCGATCATGGCAGCGACACCACCGGCCGTCAGACCGGCACCGGCGCGCTCGGCGAAGGTGACCTGACGGTTGGCGGCTTCGGCGTTCTTGTTGAGGGTTTTGATGAAGGTGTCGAAGAAACCGAGACGGGCGGTCGTGTAGACGGCCTGACGCAGCAGACCCGCGGACAGGCCGGTGTAGAGATCGAGGACCTTGCCGGATCCGATGATATCGCGAGCGACGCCAAACGCGGACGGACGAGGGCCGGAGCGAACGCCCTCGCCGGCTAATTGCAGACGCACCTTGATCATGTCGATGGGCTGGATGACTGCGGTGGCAGTCATGCCGGCCAGACCGCCATTGACAAAGGGCAGAGCAGCTCGGGTGTACGGATGGTGTAGAAAGTCGACCTGCGGCTTCGGATCCGGAGTGGTGGCGACTGTAGGGGATGCCATGATCACGACAAAGCTGGATGCAAATCTAGCTACGAGGAAGGGTTAGTATAACTGAATTGATCTGAAGGAGACCAGATCGAAGACAGTGCGGAGAAAGGACGGAGCAGGAAGAAGAAAAGAGAAACAGAGGAGGAAGAGAGGGGAAGGGGACGAGAGGGGAAGGAGGAGGGAGCAATGAACACCGACCAGGGATTGATTGTAGGACAAAAAAAAAAAAGAGACAAGCTGGCAGCGGCACGAAAAGAAACGTCCGACAGGCGACGTATCAAACGAGAGAAGAGATCAACGCGACGACTGAAAACAACCCAAGCGGACGAGGCGCGGGCAGAGAGGGGAAGACGAGAAAAAGCAGGAAGCAGCGATGAGGGGAAGGCGATCAATAAGGATGATCCAAGTTGAAGTCGCGACAGAGAGGTGAAGGTACTACACGGCCAGTCAGATGACACCGCGGGGATTTCGTCATGCAACCACGGTCAGGACTCTGGGGGATACGACGCTGAAAGGATCGGAGTCCGAGGACCTTTATACTTCCTACCGGCTATACTACGAAGGGACATCTTTGCCAGGAACCGACCCATCACCCGAGAAAGTAACGGGGCCTTCAAATTGAAATGTAGCGAAGTTCGCTGGAATGGGGGATCCACCAGAGCAGTTGATGCTGGCGATGACTAACGGACTGCCACGGACTAACTACTGCACGATGCGGTGGATATTGCGGGGGAAGCTTGACGCTTGACTCTTGACTCGGCCAGCTCCATCGGCAGTCTCGCGAGTGGTCGTAGCAGTCTATCATCCGTTGACCGTTCCTATCCTTTGTTCTTGTCCCTCTCTAAACCGTGAACAGGCTCATCTAGATCGCAAGAGACAGAAGTGAACATGTCTTTGTCCGTCTTTGTCCCCCGCCAGACTGGCAGCCCCGCTGCCAGTCTGGCGCTAACCCCATCGGGCGCTGCACGAGAACGGCCCGGCGAGTCTTCCCTGTTTTTTTCCAGAATATTTTATTCTCAGTCCGTCCAATGGTGGCCGCCCCATTACTTCGCGATCTAGACCTCTCTCCCTACATGGCAACATCTTCAACTTATGCACAGAGACAATACATCCTCATCACCACCCCTATTCTCATCGGTTAATCATGATCAATTCACCTAAATACCCAAATCTATCCCGTCTCTGCCTTACCAACTATACCACCAACAACCTAGGTAATAGTAATCATCTCATCCATTCTTCCGACCCATCCGCCGAAATCGGCACTTCCTAAGTATAGATCTTGCTAGACTGCGCCAGAGCACCCTACCCAACCCACTTGGATCGTGTCGCCCGTCATCCTAATCAATCCCGGACCTCAAGAATCCGGAGGAGTGTTCTCCGGGCTCTCTCCGGACTCATCGCGTCACGGAGATGACTTCTGCCTTGATAGTGGTGATATACTATAGCGGGATCAAGGGCGGGATATCCATCACCTCATCTCATCTACTAGGTGACGTATCTAAATATTTCATAGAAACTATAACCTACATACAAACACCCTACTGCGTAGACAGTGGTTACCAGGCAGTAGATAGCAACTATCTACCAAGTCACGCAGGAATAATAATACTATAGAACGAGTAGATGCCCATCACACCCGGAACCATCATCCGGCAAAAATACTGGCAGTCAACCATCCGCCCGGACGCAATCGATCGCTAAACTCCCCAACGGCAGGGCACCCTCGGAATCAAGGAGCTGAGCTGAACTGGCTGGGCCGACGGGACTTGGGTCGGGTATCGGGATGGCGGTTCGGATGTGGAGAGCGGGAACGTCGGTAGCTTAGCCGGGATTACTTGGTCCCTTTGACATACAGTATGTGATTTGAGCTAGCTTACTTATTTATCTCTTCCGAGATCACACAGCAAATAACCGTTGATAAAAATGCGAGCGCAAGCCAATGATCAATTCAGAAGGAGAAATGACGAATAATAAGCCCAAAGCACGCATTGAACATACCTACCTATAAGTTAGCAGATGATAGCAGAAATGATAGGAAGCGGAATAACTCCCGCCCCTTGCCGAATCCCAGGCCCGGAACCCCCTAGTCAGCCTCGTTAGCCTAGGGAGATTAGATAACAATTAACCCAAACCGTAGTTATAGGCTGCATGAATAGCTAGCCCCATAGCCAGCTAGCCTCCCTAAGTCAGTCAGATACGAACTAAACCGGAGTCCGGATCTCCTGGGCACGAAGATCCGATTCTCGCTGGTTACGGCTACTTGGAACTACGCTGGATTGATTACTCACTGCTTGTACCTAGTTAACTACTCTACTCCGTACTAACTCGACTATGGGTCTGACTCTGACTATACCTATTTGGGTGTGTTTTACAAGGCGGTGGGTTATGTAAGTGTTGAGTGTTAAGTAATGGTAAATAAATATTGGTTGGCTGGGCTAAGATTCGTCATTGTATGGAGGTCTGGTGGTCTCAGGTAAGGGTTGTATGTGGCAGTGTCGGAGGAATTCAAGTCCTGGGTAGTGGATCGGGGTAGAAAGCTCGGTGTAGACATGTCCGGTCGTCCCCAACGCTTTCTGGTTCGGACTTGTTCAATTGATCTTGGGTTGGGGGGAATACTACATAAAGTCTTAGGGATTCTTTTTATTTGGTTGAGGTTTGAAGTTTGTGTTACAAGTGTCAACTGTTTGGCTTGAAGGCGAGAAACCCAAGTTGGATTTACGGTCCGATCCACGGCAATCCTTGAACAAGGTAAAACTACCCAGGTAGGTTTACATTTCAAACAAGTTCTCAGAAGTTGACTCTAAATTCAAACTATCCAATTTTTATTCACAGGTATATGCCATGTGTCCAGTCGGACTCATAACTCCTATCGACCGAGACCAATATTAGATCCAACCAAAAGAAATTCTGAACGGTGAAGAAAAGGTATGATATCCCTGCTTCCGGTTGCCAGGGATGGGAATACAGAACAGAAAGAAAGAAACCCCGGAAACAAACACGCCATGCAATTTATGAACAGAAAGGAAATCCCAAAACCCAGATCATAATCTATTGGAGCACCGGACCGGCGGCAATCACCTCCTTGGTAGCTTGATCCGAGTACTTGGT